TGAATGCAGCATTAGGCCAGCCTGAGCTGCCGTACTGCGTCACATGTTGACTAGTGTTGCTAGTTAATGCAACCGAAAGCTTGACACATTTTTAGAAAGTCAAACGCAAAAACGAAAAGGTATTAAGGTAACTGTTCTGTTGTCGTTGGTACCGCATACCTGTCGTTGAAATGCCTTAATATATCCGTGTGTTGTTGGATAAAACACACCTGTTAAAGGGTTTTTTTGTATTCCTACAAGCTAATGTAGCTCGCTTGTTTGCTAGCCAGGAAGAGTTGACATCTCACTGTTGGCTTCATCTTAGCTAACACAGTCAACAGAGGAGCTGACTTAAAGAGGTGAGTTCATGCCGATTTTATGTCGATTTTTTATACGGAGCAGGGCTTCGTCTGTAGGGGAAATTTCTGTAATGATCACCATGAAGGCCTTTTTTTGCTCACCTAAGCTAAACTGGGCTGTTAAGGCCTCTTAGCCTTACTCTTGCCTATTATTAGTTATCCATAGGACAGTATCACCTTTTATCTTACTCGCTCACTGTTTTTCAGTGGCCTGCTGTGCACTCGTAAGTATTGAAACAGTTAGCCTCAACATTCTCTGTAATTTCGCCACAGTAGTCCATTTCAGTGATTTAAATCGTAATCTGATTTTTAGCTTGAATTATGGTTCAGGGTAGCACCGTAAGCACTGAAGAGAATAAATCAGAAATGACACCCGGGCAGCAGGCCAATCATATGTCACGTGTAATTATGGAGTATTAAGAAACAAGTGTGTGCAGTTTGCATGTTCTCCCCGTGCAGCATGGATTCTCCGACTTCCTCCCACAGTCCAAAACATGTTGAAGTCAATTGGTGATTCAAAATTATGAGCAGGTGGGAATGTGAGTGTGCTTGGTTGTGTGTCTGTCTATGTGACCTGTTCAGAGTCCCCTGCCTTCACCCTGAGTCAGCTCTAAGGCTCCAGCCTCCTGCCACCCTACAGACGACTAAACAGTGTATAGATTATGGATGGATGATTAGTTTCCAAGCTTCATAAATATAGTAAACATTACGAAAAAAGTCGAATTCGTCTTCAATGAGTCTTGTGCGTCTGTGACTTTGAAACACCACAAAAGTGTACAGTAAATGTTTCAGTGCAAGAGTAACAATTCGTACATCTAAACAGGGAAGATGCAAGTATCTGATAGTGTGATGTTGGGCAGTTTTTCATTGCATAGAATGTAAGATTACTTCTTTTATTTGGCGCTACGATTCTTTCATAGTTATCTATTGTCAAATAAACACCTTCGAATAAAGTTCCAAGATGGTATATTACTGACAGATTTGAGTGATTTTAAATCCTCTGTGCTTTAGCACAAGACATCAGAAAAAACATGTTACTGTACATATACCAATGTAGTGAAAGTACTGCATCATAAATAAAATGGTAATGGAAGTTAGGGAACAGTGCACGCTTTGTTATGTGAAAATGTTGTTCTGTAAACAAAATTAAGTTGGGGTAACGTAGTTGTGTGTGAAACCTAAGTCTGCTCTCCGTCCTCCCTTTCAGAGCTCCAGATGCGGCTAAAAGATCCCTTCTCTTTGAAAGCCGCCGATATGACTAAGCGGACTAATAAACCGAGGAAACCTCGAGATGAGGAGTCATCAGATGAAGTCAGTGGTAAGTTGCTGGAACGGTACATGGCACCAAACTGTTCAAAATAGAACTGTGAGGTCTGATTTGGCTGAGTCCTGTACAGCACAGTGGATAGTGGGGATTAACTCTTTAGTTGTGGTCAGAAAGCAAGACAAATATTTAAGATACGCTATGGCATTTTCTCAGAAAAATGTTTACTGAGTTCATCAAATAATTTATCAAGTACATTTATCCACTGACTGTTTCCAGTATTAGAAACACAACATTCCTTTCAGCTGAACTGAGATCTTTTTGTAATTTTTTTAATGTTGTGAACTGACCCAAAGTATTTGCAAGGGACTATTATGCATTGTCTTTTAATCAGGACTGACCTGCCAGCATGTGAGTAAAGCCGTGGACCTGAGCTCGGTGAAGAAGTCCGTCCTCTCAAGCGTGTGGTTGGTGTGCTCTGAGTGCCTAAAGGAGAGGACAATGATCGATGGAGAGCCAGCCGCATCCCACGACATCCTGGTGTGCTTAAAGTGTGGTTTTCAGGTAAGATTTGTTGTTTTCATTAAAACATAATAAACATGGTGCACATCAGACATTGTGGCTGAGCAGCCCATACAGTGAATATTTTGTTTTGATTATACCTGTGTCAGAGGAACATTAAAATGAATATCCTAGAGTCACAGCCATTTTAATTCTGCTGTATTCTAATTATGCATCTGAAGGCAAGCAAACAAGGTTTAGAGAGAAAAGACAGTCATTTAAAAATAAAACAAATGCATTGTGAATAAGAATGTGTTCATTTTCCACCACAGATTTGCTTAAATTTGATTGCAGCTTCAGAATATTTCTTCTTCACTTAAATGTCACAACTTCTTGTGTTCTTAAATAATTATATGAAAATATGACAGATTTTGGTTATAGTCCCCACTGTATGTGTACATGAAGTGTACTCTATATTGTTAAAGGGCTTACAAATGATTGCTTTTTCCCCCCCGCATAGTTGTAGCTCAACCACATGGAAAGTTGGGGTTATTAGGTGGAGCCACAGTTATTAAAAGTGGGCTTGACCTTAATGTGTTAATGTGTATATCTTTTACCAAATATTTTAAACAAAAAATTGTTAAATGAACTGTCTCACAGGGCTGTAACCAGTCAGGGATTCAGCACGCTGTCAAGCACCACCAGGCTTTCCATCCAGAGTCGCACTGCATCACCATCAGCTTGAGCACGTGGAAGGCCTGGTAAGAAACACAGGAATTTAATTGTGCACGGTCATAAAAAACAAAAAAACAGCCTAAACACAGTGGTGTGCTTTTTGTGGTGTACTGCCATTGTGCAATCTTACATTAAAAAAACAGTAGAGGCTGGTGGGCTTCCTAATTTTGGCTACAATAGTTTTCAAGATGTTTATCTAGAAATTTGTCATAGTTTTTAGGTTTATACATAATAGCTCTTTTTTTAGTTACTTGATAGTAATGCTTTTTGAAACCCTTGTGACATATAATGAAGTCCGCATCTTCCAATAAATTCTGTTTTGAGCCCTTTTATTGAGTGTTGTTGAGTTCTAAAGGACTTTAAGACCTTTCTGTGTCTGTTCACTACCGTCTCTGATTGTAACAGGTGCTTTGAATGTAATGAGGAGCTCTCTACTCACTGCAACAAGAAGGCTTTGGCGCAGACCCTCGACTTTTTACAAAAACACTCTGTCAAGGCAACATCAGGTGAGGTGGCAACATTCTGGAGGTCTGCAATGTTTGTTTCAGCATGACTGAAGTCAGTTCAGTAAAATATTCTTTTCATTTAGCTACCTCTTCTTCAGTTAAATACAGACAACTGATGATGTATTATTATGAAGTGATTTTTTTAAATATTCTGCACTGGATGAATTTTCAGAAACAAAGACAATTACACCCTGACCGTATAATAATTAGTGGCCAGTGACAGTTCAGTGTCCTGGTATTCAGATGAATCAACTTACCTGATCACAAAAGTTCAAATTGGATCTTCTCAGTGATCTGCATACATTCCAGCTGTTGACTGCAGTGCACCTGCTCCCCCTGCTGGCAGTGGTCATCTGGTGTGTTGTTTTCAGTGTGGAGACACCCCGCATGTCCACGATTAGGGAATACAACAGTGAGATGGGTGACACCACTCTGAGGTTCAGACCTTATTTTCTAGGGATGTAACTACTTTGTTTTTTAAAGCTGTTTAGGACTTCAAGACATTTTTTTCTTGCCTGGTGTAGGTAAAAAAAATCAGTTCAAGAGCAGCCTGTCACAAACATGTGAAATAGCACATGTAGTAATTTTACTTACCAGGAAACATATGAATTTGAGTTTGAAGAGAGTCTGACTTGTGTCACAGTAGGTTCCATTCACACTGAGTCTGGGCAGCCTGACTTCCTACCTTCAGTATTATGTCCTTTGACCTCATTCAGGCCACCTGAGCCCTCCTCTCCCAGTCAGTCAACCATATAGATATCAACCCCCTCCTCCTCTCTCCATATTTACACACATACACCTTCTGTCCCTGAATTCCTGCACCTCAACTGCTTTGTGCCCATCATGCTGAGTGACCTCCTAACAGACTGTAGCTGATCAGGTTGGTGGGCATCACCACTTGTGGTCTTACTGGCCTCTCAGCACAGCCCCCTGCCCGGTGCCCAGTAGCCAGTGGCCAGAGGCCAGTCGCCAAAGCCGAGTAAAGCTGGTCCCCCAACTCAGCAATGGCCACAGAGTTACAGAATTGGTTCCGCAGCAATCCCCCACCCTCACCCCCACCTTGCACATCGCATGACTGCACATATTAGAGGAATTAAGCGCTTGAGCGATGCTTCCCGGCTGGGTTCCCTGAAGAACAAGAGCAGCTGCGTGGGGTTCAGCCTCTGCTCTGTCATCCTTTGTCTTTCCATTGCTATCTGTTTCTGTCCCATGCATCCTCTGTTGAGCTGCTGTATGTCTCACCACCTCTGGGCCTGTGTGCTGCACTAGTGGGAGCCAGGGTCCTCAACAAGTCAGAGTGACTGGATCTTAACAGCTGGAGCGCACTAACCCTCAGTGGACACACAGACGCTCACAGATACACACAACACAGAATGTTGAAAATAACTTTTAAGTCAAGCACCAACACCAATGCACTCCTTCCCTGCAGTCTGTACTATACACTTATAAAAGGTTTTAAGGCTGAGTAATAAAGTTGGCTGAATTCTCATGGCACAATGTATTCTTTGCAACACAGAGGACAAGCTCTTCCTGCCACAGTAAATCTGAATAACTTTCATTTTCCAAGTACATTGCATACCTGGAGAATTTTCAGATTTTACAAAGTAAAAGGTGCTTTGAAAGTGCCTATATAGTTTGTGTTACTCACTTACAATCAGGCATACAGACTTTGAGGGACAAATAGGGCCAAGAAATGAGCTCAAGTATTCAGATAGTAGATGTATAGTTGGTTGGCAAATTTTACTATCACTGTTCCTTAGATTCTTTGTTCTCCCTGTGATGCTGTTCTTGATTACAATATGCATTGCTTGTAGATAAACTTATGCATAGCAGTGTCTTGACCCAATGAAGCAAAGACTGTGATGGAGCTGTGTGTGTGTTTTGATTTATATGTCTGTAAATGTTGTATACACGGTGTCAGGCAATAGTCCACTGTTGGTGGGAATTGATCTTCCAAGCTGGGCAGTTGCTACCTACAGCTCTCCTACAGCTTTGCCTCTTTAAATTACCTGTCACCTTTCCTCACACTCAATTGTTCCACACCGGTTGGCCAAATGGGTATAGAAGCGGGCAGCCATTGTTGCAGCAAAATAGGAGGTTGTTGCCTGTTGAGAAGCTTGTGAAATTGCATTCCAGTGTGAAGGCCAGGTTTTCTCAAGAAGCCGCTGTTGTACTCTGTTTTCCTATAGACCTCCAGCACAAAAGAGCCCCGGCAAGGATTTTTTTCAGAATCTATAATAATTTTGTACAACAACAGCTCAGGGAAGAAAGAAAGTCGATTAACTGTGCTCTCTCACCATCAAGGCCTTCAACTCAAGTGCCAGAGTCCCAGTAAAAAGCAAATTGACCTCAGGGAGCTAGACTCCAGCTTGTAACACAGCTGGGGAGTCTTTGTGGAGCAAATTAAAATGTTGGTTCTGAATAGACATCAGAGCTTGTTTCTCATTGGAATCCGTTAATTCTTTCTTGTTTTATAGTAGTGATTGTTATCAATCAGTATTTCTGTATAATTGTGTTGTCATAATAGGTATATTACTAAACTGTGTGTACATTCTTGTACTCTTTTATTTATTTATTTTTTTTGCATCATTTGACAGCACATGCAACATGAGCAAAAATACTTTCTAGCTTTTTGCTATAGTTATATTGTTAATTTGATTACCAGTGTCTTCATTATATTTAGACTTGATTTCTAGTAAACCAGTAACAAAGCTTTTTATCTATGAACCATTTAATCTTTAGGTTCTTTTGGGTAAATATAAGGAAAGTAGAATAAAGCAATGAAGCTAAATTTGATGCACATATATACAGTAATCTGTATGCTCACCTGCATGCTCCTATTAAAGACTCAGCACATTAAAGTTGCATCAGCTAGATTCCATCATCAAGATTTAAAAGCATTTATTTGTCATTTCACCTTTGGTATCTAGTTTTTCAGCTAAAACTGTGAAACAACTGTCCTCTATAGTAACAGGTTTTAGCTTTTAATAATGCCGGCGTTTGTGATACTCACTTTAAAATTCTTAGTGTTGTCAGTACAGTTACATGTCACAGATACATGCTGGTTTTTGACAAAATTCACCTTGAAATTTCAAGATTTTAAACATCCAACTTTGTATTTTTGCAGTGCTGAATGGACTGCTATCCTTTTTTAGAAGGAATGATTACATTCTCTCTCTCTGAAGATGCACATTTGTGTCCACCCTGTTCCTGGCCTCAGTTTTTCTAGAATTATACCTCCACTGTCTTCTCCTCTGAGAGTCTTTGGCCATAGGCTGAACTCTAAGATATGGTGTTGTAGGATTACTGTGCCTTTATTCACCTGGTTTTCTGCCCCTGGTTGTTGATTTTGGAAACCATAGTCTTTAGTTTACCGTCAGTTCAGCTTTGCCGAGTCAGTAGCCAGTAAGATGCTTGTCCCCTGGTGGTGCTTTCATGGAGGTAATCAAGAGTGATTCTGTCTTTATTCCCACCACCGCACATGAAAGTAGGCCAGATAGTGGGTAGCAAAGTGTGTGTGCGTGTGTGTGCGTGCGTGCGTGTGTGTGTGTGTGTACGTAACATGGCACTGGGTTCTCTTGGCCTCAGATGGCAAGGAAACAGGCTTTTCATGCCCTGCAGTCACAACAAATTAGCGAATTAATAAGACATTTGGTGTTGCTTGGCCTTCCTCTTGACTGCCTGCTCTGCATGAAGTGAGCTGGCCACGGCCCTCCACACTGCTGCACTGTAAGTGAACATAGATGCATGGATGAAGCCCACTGGCCATACAATTTGACAGTGTCAGCTCAACTGTGAAGCATATTAAGAAGGCTGTAAAGAGATGCTTTGAAATTAGATTTTTATAACATTTTTGCTTTTTTATGTTGGTATAAAATAAGTGGCAGTTAGACTAAAAAAAGCCATTGTTGTAGATCTGGTACACTTAAAACTAAGTTCATACACAAATCAAGTCCTTTCTGTTCATGAATTGTTTCACAAGCTAGACTTTCTCACATAAAGTCTGGTGTTGGCCTTGCTGATAACACAATGCAGCACAGGCGTGACAGAACAGTGGATTTTTTTTCAGAGACTTCAGGAAAGTTTGCAAGTTTTTTCTTTCACAAGTGTGCTAGTACTGTTTCCTGTAAAAGTAAGCAAGTCTCATGTTTCTTTGTATATCTCTTGTGTGAAAATGAGCAGGGAGTGCAGGAGGTGTTGGTGTACATGCGTGCATGTGGATGGGCTTGAGCAGCGTGATGCTTTCCCCTGCCCTGGGGAAAGGCTCCACAGTGTCACTGCTGCCCATACTCGGTGGCTGAGCAAGGAGGGCCAGGTGGTGGTGCCGAGTGCAGCACAGTCAAGCGTGGACGCAGCGCATGCTGACATTTGCCTTCGCTGACTGCTGCAGGGAGAGGAAAAATCTGCCTTTCCATATGCTTGTGCTCGTTGCAACCCTTCCCTCCACCCACTGCTCCCCCACACTGCCCTCTTCTGCCCCCCTCCCTCCAGTCTCAACCAGATGGCTCCCTGAACATTGTTTACCTTGGGTGACGGTCCCAGATGCAGTGTGTGTCCATCGGCATCCCCATTCCGCCCACTTAGTTTCCTCATTCCTCTGCTCTCTCTTAGCTCAAGTGCCAGTCACAGCTCTTACACTCAAGTTGCATCAAGTCTGTTGATTTTGACTCCCCGCGCACAAACACCACAACAAGAAGACATACTCATTTACACACCTTTTCGCTCTCTCAGTTACTCGCTCTTCCTCTTAGTTGTCCACACTTGGATAAACATATATTTTCACACCTTTCCAGTTTCAAGCCAAATCCCAAAATACAGCGTCTGTTTTTCTTGATCAGGGCTGCTGTCTTTCCTCATCTCTGCTTGTTTTCCATGCATTGTGTGTGTTGACATATGGGAGCTCCCTTATGGCTGCATATTGAAGATGAAAATAGGCCTCCAGATGTTGCCTGCACAGAGGGCCAGATGCATTTAGCACCACTGGGTGGAGCGCATCAGCAGCATGTCGTCCCGACAAGCTGAACCTCACCCCTATCTTTTTGATCCCAAAACTACAGGACTTAGCAGCACTGAACACTTTGCTATTAAAACAATGCAAATTTCCAGCAGCAGTTGATAGAACCAAGACGTGTAAGTGTGGAAGTAGTTGTGGTTTTTCTTCTCACAACTGTTTAAAAAAATAAATAAAAGTTGCCCTTTTTCTTCAGCTTCTTTTCAGTGGAATTTGATGGAGTATAAAATGCAAATTGTCAGGCCACGCGTAAAATGTCCAAGGTTCACATTCCAGCAACTGTGACCAGGACACTCATGTTAATGTCCTTGGCCTTGAGGAGGAAAAGCTTGCCGGGTAGCGGCCAGCAGTGGGCTTACCCACCGCTGTAGGTTGAATGGCTTTGTTCAATAAATGTGTTCTGTACAAGTAGTGGTTCTATAAATTGAATGTGTGCAAAGGCAAGGCCATTTGTGTGTTGAGGAGAAGAACGGCGAGAGTAAAGGTGCAGGTTCTTATGAAGGTTTATAGTTCAATTGAATCTCCGTGGTTTGGGCAAAGGTGGGTTCAGGCTCATGACCCTGCTGCCGGCCTGCACTCTTGACTGGCTCATATTTGTAAAGTTTTCATGACCCAAACACTTACTGTGCTTCCAGCATTTCTTTGATTTCCCTGCAGCCTCTGGGCCTTAAGCTTTCCAAGCAGGAAAAAAGTAATTGAACTTTTAAAAAAAGAATATGTTTTATATCTTGTCAGTCTAGCTCTACAGCAATGTATTTTTAAACTAATGTAAAAAAAGAAAAAAAAAAGTTCTTCTTTTGTCTCAGAATTTTAATAGTACATTAAAGAATTATTCTTTCTTTCTTTCTTTCTTTCTTTCTTTCTTTCTTTCTTTCTTTCTTTCTTTCTTTCTTTCTTTCTTTCTTTCTTTCTTTTATTTTGTGTGGTTGTGTGGTTGTGACGGTGTAGTGAACATTGTGCAAACTCTGTGTTGATGTACACAAGAATGCTCCAACAGCCAAGACTGATTGACTGCAGCTAAAAAAGATGTCAGCTCCCAGAGTAAACTTTGGATGGCATTCAAAGTATAATGTCATACATCCAATGTCATATCTTGTTTTCCAGTGTTTTGGCTGTTTTTGAACACAGTCTGAAAAATTGGATGTAGCCTTGATCATAACAGTGGAGAATGTTCCTGCTCACTTCTACAGTGCTCTGACAAAAAATAGGAATTATTCTAAAATTTCTGCTGTAACATATCTATCTCAAAACCTCATTGCAAGATTATTTTGATTTTAAGCATCCAAATATGTATTTAATAGACACGAACAAGACTAATATATACTAGAACCATTAGGTACTGTATACTGTGTCATAGAAAGACGAGGCACTATCCTGAGCTTGTCACTCATTGTGGAGCCCTGCATGAAGCTAAACACTGGAACTTTTTAAACATCACCTTGAGTGGACCTATTAGCCTAATTTTGCACCTTCTAGTGTAACTTATCTGCCTGAATGTATTGTTAGGTTGTGTTCTTCCATAGACATGTGTTTCCAAATGGCAACTGAATTCTACACAAACTTGCTGTAGGCACATGTTTGTTTGTTTATTTAGATGTTTTTTTTTTTAAAGTTAATGAGCCATCTAGTGGAATAGTCAAACAACTAATGTATTCCTTGTCAGTTAGTTCATCAGTAGCTACTAACACACATCACTATCATATTACTGCCGTCATGGTGTTAGCTTCATTGTTATCTGCTGGCACGCCATCAGCTCACACAGTTATCGTACCAAGTCTGTCCCCAGCAGTCTGTATGCCACTGTTAGATTCTGACCATCTGTGTCTTAGTTTCTGTCGAAGGTTAGTTTTGGTGATCAGGAGTAACAGCTGGCTCTGGAGAGCCATCTCTCCAACCCCAGCCCCCACCCTTCCCTCACTAACCAGCGGAAACTTCTACAGCTGTCATCTGCTTTCCCAAATGACCTAACTCTCCTTCCAGCTGCCGTCACAGCACCCTGCTCCCAGCCCCAGCCTTGTTTCAAGGCTAAGCCCTTTTTTTTCCAGTATTCCAACACAATCCCAATTAAAAACAAGCAGATTTTTTTTTTTTCAGTTGCAAGGCCAACTTCCACTCTCAATTTTAGACCAGACACCACCTTAGCTGCAGCTTCAAGCTCTACTTTAAAGTAACCTCAAAGTAAAAGTCACTTCAGGGTTTAGAAATTGAATCTTTTGTCGGTTCCAAAGACCATCTATACAGTCTATTACTTAGCTTATATTCATCTAATGTATATCTTTAAATTTAATTATCTTTCTGTTTTTCCTGTTTTCCAGCAGCATCACCCAAGATAATTAAACTGCGAGAGGAACCATCAGACTATGCTGACCCTCCCAGAGGCAAGAGTTCAGTCATCAACAGCACTCTGGTCCCGGTTAAGGGAATCAATAACCTTGGTAACACCTGCTTCTTCAATGCTGTTATGCAGGTTGGTACTGATGTTACTAGTGTCACTATTATTAATTATTAATGCCTTTTCTTTTGTTTTTTTAACCTGTATCTTGCATAAATGCTGTGGTTGTTCAATGTTAGGTAAGGAACCACAAATTTAGAAAACGTTTGCAAGTGTGCTTTATTGTGCATTGTCAAATGTTGTGATTGCGTTCTATGCTGTTTTGTAGGGATGATGCCTTATCAAATAAGGTATTTGTGATTGCAGGTATAAATATGTCATTTTAAATGTGAAGCACAAGCACATCATTTTAAAGTGGATTTCTTAATGTTAGCAACCTGCTTGCAAGTTACTGCTTTATCTCCAAAGACCCTGTATTAGCCTAATAAATTACAAGGATTTCCATTTGAAGATGACAGTACAAATATGTATGCCCTTACAATCTTGTTCAAGTGCTTCTACTTAGGAGTCTGGTCTATAGTAAAACAGATTATGGTCTTACAATGACTGTGAAAGTACACAGGTCATTTTGTATAGTATATTCAATGCAGCAGTAAATGCAATGCTGGCGTGGACACATTCACCTGCCCGTACACGAGTGGCACTCAGTTGGTGCAGAGCATGTTCACAACACAACACAGCTATAGAGCGTCCTCAGTCTTTCTCTGGTCATGTCATGGTGACTGCAAACTGACATGGCTCTTTAACAATGAAGCTGTTTTTTTCCGCCATTTTGTTAATCACCCTCGGGGTCTTCCTCGTTGATTGAAATTCGAGTGAGCACGCTTTACATGCTTTTCCCTCCCTCTCCCTGTCTGTTTGTATTGTCTCCTTGAAAATTGCAATCTTTCTGGTGAAAACACATAATTGTCAGAGGATGAGCTGTGTCTGTGTTCACAATGCCTGCTTCATTGTGGGTTTTCCATAGCAACAGTCTGTATTGCCAGGATGTGACAAAACAAATATCTCTTGAAAAGGAAGAAAAAAGATGCTTCTCTAACATGAAGGGACAATGACTGCTTCAGGCGATCTCTTTGCCAAGGATCTTCTCTACATTTGAAACTCACAGATCATAGATAATTTTGAAAGACTCTGTCAACATAATGAACTCACCACACGTTTCCTAAATCCTACTAAAATGGAGATAACATTTCACAAGGGTATTTTAATTGACCACACTGAATTGCCACAAGCTAGGTGCAGATACATTTTCATATCTCTGAATGATCATATCTCTGCTTGATATTTTTTCTTGTTCACTTTTTTATGTTTTTTTGTTGGGCCTTGAAAAATAGTAAATTGTGTGCATGATGAGTTTGATCCACTGACTTTTTTTTATTACTTTTTAAATTTTTTTAAATGAACTAATGTCATACCTTATCAATATTTCACCAAGTAGTATTCAATCCACAGATGCATTAAATTGTACCTAAAAATAATTCTGTTGTCCCCCCAGAACCTGTCCCAGACACACATGCTCATTGACCTAATCCAGGAAGTGAAGGAGAAAGGGTACAAACTGAGGATCTGCCCCTCTGTTGAGTCCAACCTGGTACAGTTTGCTACAGTTTATTCTGCTCCTTCATAATGCCTTTTTAGCATTTGATATAAAAATGCAACTGACCTTTCTTTTGAAGAGAGATGCATGACAATATCGGCATCATTGGTGTTGACTAATAAAGGCTTTAAATTGAAATATCAGCATCAGCCCAAAATGAGCATTGGCGGGCAGGTAGTGTCTGTCAGGTTAAAAGTTTAGCTTTGTTTGGGAATGTTTTTAAATGGAAGAATATGTGGTTATCTCATTATCAGCAATTGGCCAAAATGAGTTGGAAACTATCTATATGCGAAAACCCAAAGTTGTATATCCCTAATTTTGAAATTACCATTCATATGTGTTGCATGAAAAAATATATTTGACAATATAAATTTAAAAAATGTAGAATATATTCTTTGTAAAGCGGTCGTGTAAAATGCCAATTTTGGGGGGGATCTTTTATTTGAACTTTAAAGCTACAACATGTTTTAGGACCTAAAATTTAAGGCTTTCTGTTACTGTTTAAGAAAAACGACTAACACTGAATGTATAACATAGAAGGTAAACCTGAATACTGCTTTATTATTGTGTTGCCCTCCAGGATTGCAGCTGTTCTTAACGTTTGGGAACAACACTTATTTCTTTTTGTCTCTTCATATTCCAGAGTCCACTGACTGTAACGCTGCCCAGTCCAGAACCCCTGACTGCAGCAATGTTTCTCTTCCTCCAGAGCATGAAAGAGTCAGGAAAAGGCCCCATCAACCCTAAAATCCTCTTTAACCAGCTTTGCCAGAAGTAAGATATCAACCTACTATATCCTTTCACTCTAGATCCTCTCTTTTCTGTGCCTTCATGCACGGCAACTCGCTGGGGCTTATAATCCTTGGTATTCATGCAAGTAGTTAAAACAAACATGAGCTGTATAGTAAAATAATGTCTGTTGTTAGAGGGACTAGAAATCTTTTATTTTATTTGCGGTCAAACTTTTTGTGTCACTGTTGTTACAGCCTCTAGAGATGCTGTAGATTTGATAAACCTTCAGGAATGTAAAACAGCAATTTTTAATGATGATTATAGTATTACCAGTGATGATACACTCGCTTCAGATTCCTGTAGATATTCGATCTCCGGATCAATGAAGTCATCAGACTGTGCTGTAATAGTTAGTACTGCAGTTTTCCATCATCACCACAGCAGTTCACAACACAAGAGCCACAGCTTTCACCTGCTGTCATCCTTTCACTGCAGTGGGGAACACTTCAAACTAGCCAGACCCAAGTAGCACCTGGTCTCGGCTGAGTGCCTTTCACCCACTCTAACCTCAACATACACAGAACACACTAAAGGCACTGTACCTTATCAAATGTCCAGCAGCATCTAGCCATTTGTGGCTCTTGTGCTACTTGCCACACTGCTGTGCCACCTGTGTCGTATTTGATCCAGAGCATGGCCTAACAGACTGTGTGACAGGCAGACACACAGCCTGTTTTGTTGTTTTGTTCCCTTTCGCGAACAGTGTGAATATTTGGTTGGCTGACTTCTTGTCGAGCATGGTACACTGCTGGTTGGGTCCACCCTGTTTGTGTGTATGGGGAGGGGGCGGGGGTCTTGCACTGTTTAGTAGTGCAGGTGGGTGACCAGGGCATTTGACGTTGGATGACTGGGTGCATCTCTGGTGCGGCTTTGACAGTTATTCTGGTACCTAGCTTTCATCAGACAGCTACTGTGTGTGTTTGTGTGTTTGTGAGTGTGTGTATATGAGCTGCCACCTCACCTGGCACCACCTCAGCCTTCAACACATATGCAGGCAATTGTGCATTCAGACAGTGAGCACTGCACACACCTTTGTGCTCTCATACATGTCTAATTTCAAGTAGGGCTAATCTATTCCACTATCATGCATTTAAATGAAAAAATATGAGTTTCAGCCTCAGCACCCATTATCCATACTCTCTGCTTATCACATGTAAACTAATAAAGACCAGTAATTCACTGTTTAGTACGTCCATTCTGTGTATGTTTAAATACAGATATGCTAATCTCCATTTGCCAATTGTTTTCAGTGCTTCAGAAGGGTGAAAAATGTAGAAATCAGGGTTTAAATCTTTAAACATTTTGCCTGTCTTATTAAAAACATAGTTACATATGTCTATAGCTATATCAGTTCGCAACATTTTTGACAATTGACCAGTTAAATAAATACACTTTCAATAGAAATGATCAAAACAGAACCCATCATCATTACTTACTTTGTTTACTCTAATCTTTACTCTGGAAGATTTTGATAGCCCCCTATTTTTTTTTAACCATTGTCTGACCATTTTTAGACCAAGCTTGAAAGTGATAATAATAATAATAATAATAATAATAATAATAATAATAATAATAAAAACAAAACACAGAACAGCAGTTAGATCAATAATAATAGTAATAATAAGAATAAGAATTTGTTGTACTCTTGATATTTTTGGATATGTGAACATTTGCTATTACCAAAATCCAAACACAAAAAATATCCTCTCCTCTCTTTTCTTGACTAGTAAAGAGTGCATGTTTGCTCTTTGTCCCCTGGTCTCTAAAGCCGAGATGTTGAAGCACATTGTTCAAGGAGAAAACATACCACAGAAAAGGCTATCAGAATCTTCCAGAGCCCAAGGTGACAGGTCTAAGCTTGCTTGTTTATTACAAACAGTCCAATCCCAAAAACAAAGTCTTCTAATACCCTGCAGTTGTGTTTGATTGAACAATTTTAGAATATTCTGATTTATCAAAAGATGACTGACATGAGACTTTATTTTTCAAAGTTATGATTGTCATGTAAAACCTGGCGGCTTTTGTTTACTTATATGCCAGTTGTTTCTGACATCCACAAAGTATACGTGATTCCAGCATTCTCTTCTGAAATGGCCTGGGCTCTTGCAGGCTTCTTTATTAGACTCCTCCACACAGCACCTTCTCTACATTCAGTAAGGTCTAAAGCTTTTAGCTGAAAGGGCAGGGTCAAGAACTGCTCCTGTTTACTTGGACATGTTTTCTCCCATTGTGGCGACCTTTGTGATGGCTGCACTCTGTGAATATGTCCTGCTTTCCTTACATGCCACTGCAAGCTCTTGTCGCTCAAAAAGGTTTGGGTGTGCCCTTGACCTGTGGGGACTGACAGCGCTTTTCCATTTCTCTTTGACTGTCTTTCCCAGTATGTTTGTGTTGACAGACAGGTTAATAAGGCTTTCTGGCTCTGATCAGGGCAGGTTTGAGTGTTTATGTGCAACACCGCAGCCCTATTCAGCTGTTTTGTGTGAATGTGTGTGCGCATTTCCGCTCGTGCGTTCACATGCATTTGACCTCAACCAGCTGAGTACACCACAGCCTGCCTCCTCATCCTCCTGCCAGCGGAAGGGGTCTGGTCTGTGCTCGGACCAGCGCCAAGCTATGTGCGTTGAATGGTCAGCACCACACTCTGTATCTGGTGCCAGGGAGGGTCCCAGCTTGTACTCAGTGTACTACAAAGCTAGTCAGTGGCTAGTCAGAGTAAGCATCAAGACAGGGATAAATAACATTTAATTAAGGGCTCATATTTATGTACCTCCTTTTGGGCACCTGGAATCTGAGGGGCTAAAGCATTATAAAGTACCATTTACTGAGAATGTTACTTATTATTATTTCTCTATCAGTCTGCTAGGATGCACTCACTATGCATGTCTAATGCATGAGCTGGACGCAAAAGGCCACACAGAAGCATTCATTTGCACCTGCTTCTTTCAAGGACTGATTCAATTTTCAGGACAGCCACTGGACACTTTCTTGTATGGAAAAAAAATGAAAAGTACGCTGGGTCACTTCTCCGTCTGTGTACTGTGTATAAATGTCCACATACCCACGTCTTTCAAATATTGTTCATAAGTAAGCCTTGTCAGAAGCCTTTCATCCCTAATAGAAATAGCAGAGGACAACAATGGATTCCATCTAGTGCTGGCATCCAGGTCACACACACCTACATGAACACACATATAGTACACACACATTAAAAGAAGCAGCAGATATTCAGCATTGGTATAAAAAATAATGAAAATGTTGGCAAGTGCTCATATTCTGAGCCAGGGACTACAGTCTAGCCACATCTATTCACTGTGGTCTACTGGTGAATGTAGGAAACCTTACAATGAGGAAGTTGATAGCTCCTTTATGTTCCAATAATGGAAATTAAAACCTGCATAACTAGCACAAGTCGATTAAAATATGCTGCTTTAAATTAGGCTGATTGTTATTCATCTAGTAGGGGTGCTATCAAGTGGTTCATTGCTTGGTTAGATTTACCAGTAGTAAAATAATCAGAGTTCAAATACATTTTTTTGGTGAAACAAAACCTTTTTAAATGTAGGAAGACAATGAGGTAAATGCTAAATTCTCACATGTCAGTTTTAAAATATGTAGTATTCAGCAAACGACAGTAAATGTGTCTACTTGAATCAAAACTAACTTTTTTTAAGACTTTCTGAAAAATACAATAAATTGGATTAAACATATATTTTTCAAGGTGGTTGTTCAGTGATCTCTCCATGGGATTAAAAGTTGTGTTAGTTTTTACAAAATACCTTAAATATGGTGCTAATTGTGAGTGGCTAATTGACTTTCAAATAATTGAGAAAAGTCAGATGTACCTTGAACATGCCTGTTTTTGTCCTATAAATGTCTTTCTGAACATACTGTAGACCATACATAAATAGATAGACTTTATTCTCTGTCCCAAATGGTGACAGAAATTCTCCTTTTACAAGGCTCCAACATTTTTAAAAAAGAAACACATATTTAAATACAAGACACAAGCTCACAAAGTACAAACGTCTAAAAGAAATGTTAAAAAGAAACAGCAGCCGATGAAAAGATATCTCTACTGTTTAGTGTCTTATTTCATTTTGTTCAGGGTGGTTATTGCAGTGGGAATAAAGGATTTTTTTTTTATAGGTGTTTTTGCGGGCCAGTGGGACTTTGAGTCACATTTGTATATTTTGTGGCTGTGTGTGAGTAAAGGCTTAATGAATTTATCATGAGAACTGTGTGGGTGCATTGTGTTGTTCATACGTGTGTGTTTTCGAGGGGGGAGCTTGTGTGGCCTTGTGTCTGGTACTAACTCATCCGGCTATTAATTGTGTTAGCACCGCAGCTGTTTGCATTGGCCAGATTGAGAGCAGCGCTACAGGGCCCTTCTGCTTCTCTCCACTGGGATGAGCTTCCAGACCTCCTCATTCCCACTGATCCTAACCAAGCTTTTAATTTTTTTCCCCTCTATTTCTCTATCTGTCTCTGTCATTTTTCGATCATACTCATTTCTTTCTCTTTTTTTGCTTTGTATTTCTCTCAGTCTTCATTGTTCGACAGACTAGTTCGCACAACAAGAGAGAGACATTCCTTTACTTGATGTCCTTTTTCGAGAGTGGTGACTAAATGACGTGTGTGTGTGTGTGTGTGCAAGTGTGTGCAAGTGTGTGCAAAAAAAAAAGGGCAAAAGAGACAGAGATCATGTCAGTATAAGAGTGTGAGGGTGACTTTGGGCTTCTCCAGATCTACTGGTTGTGACCTGTGTTGAGGGCAGGTGGTTGGCCTTTTCTCCCCCAGCTATGGACATCCATTCTTGAGTCATGCATCAGTATGTTATGATTTACATTGACACCATTACTTGGTAATAGAACACTGTGGCCAGATTGTATTGAATTATTGAAAAACACAAATACGTATGAGTTACTGCATAGCTGTTATTAATTATTATGGGATTGGTACCAGCTGTCTGCTGGGTAAAAGAATTGATGACTGGTATTCCTATTTACTAACATTTTTCCAGCCAAGAAAGATTTTTAAAAATTGTCTCTTTAAATTGACCGGCAATATGTTTATACAAGACTATGAGGACCTAAAGTACCAGCAAAGATCTTCCACAGTCGTGTTGAAGGAGTTTACCCACCACTGCTTTCCCCCACCCTCTGAACATCCGCAGCATTTTTCTGATGGCCTCTCTAACCACAAGTGGGGCCTCTTAGTGTGTGTGTGTTGCCCGTCGGACCAACCTGTCCTGTGGTTATGTGGCTGGCTCGGCCCAACAGGTTGCAATGGCTCCAGCCTTGGCTGCCCATCTGCCCCTCACATCTGTCCTCACATCTGCTTCACAGTGGACAGCCAGGGGACGGACCCAAGGAGAGCCTCCCCTCTAACCACTCTGGTATTAATGGCCTGGTGGAGGTCCACCCAGGTTCACTAACAAAATGCAAAGCTAAGAATGAAAGCAAGTGTTGGGCTGATAGCTGCCATGGTGCCAGGGGGGAGGGGAATTTGATGTTTGCCTAATATGACAAGCCAAGGTTCAATTTTCCTGCTATTTTGACATGCCAAAATGCTGGTGTAAACTATGTGTTTGCATCACCATGCAAACTGATGTACATACATATACTTAAAATGAACAGTGACCAGAGAGGCTGATGGTAATTCAATACAAAACACAATAAAGCTTGTGCTTATATTTATTTAAACACATCATGACAGATGCTAAGACAACAATACAAGTGAAACAAGACGTCAATACTGTACTGAATGCAACAAAAGAAAACTATGCAACGAGTATTCATTCCTCAATGGATTTACATTTCATTTATCTGCAGAAAGGAAATCTATTTCAGTATCTCTGTTGGTCTTACTGTTAACAACATTGTGGAGGGGGAGACAATGCAAACTTTGATCTGTTTTTGGTGTTGTTTTTTTAAAAGAAAGAGACATTGAAATGGTTTTAAAGATTTTTTTTTTTTATATGTGTAGAATTATTATCAGCTTCTCTGTTCAGTGTTCATTTCAAGTGTATGTATGGGAGCATTCAACAAGCCTCATTCTATACTAACCACACTTCAAATTCCACTGATAGTAGAGGTCTCAAAAGTTGGTTAAATATCGCTGAAAGACTGCTTTTAGTAAGAAATGAGGATGCATGGCCCCGGAAATTAGTTGTCTCGAGATAACTTTTTAACATTTAAAACGACCTTTCAGGTAAGATGTTGCTCTGAGAGGGAAATTTTGCCAGATCTGAAAACAAATGAAATTCTAAAAATTCTGCCCAAATATTCTACAGAACTAAGTTTTGGGTCCCAAATAACAAATAAGTATCTAAGATTGTGTGGCAACACTGCTACCTGAAGCAACACGTACTATCCCAATCTATTAAGTATGAAATGCTTTGGCTTTAAAATACCTGTCAACCGTATTCTACAGTGACAATCAAACGGGGAAGAAAAGTTTCATACGTTTACTTTGTGAACTGATCATTCATTTGATTAGTTTTTCCCTGGTAAAAATTTTATCCCAAAATAACAAAGCTCTTTACCTAACTCTTTTAAGGTATGGCAAAATTGTGGAAGTGTAGACCAATATGTTATGGAGATTTACCTTTTTATACAGGGGCCCCAAACATTTTTGCTCCATCCCTGGTGGTTGGAGCATACAAGAGCTGTGCGCAGCCACCCACACACACTAACAAGCCTATTCAAACACACAAATGAACAACACAACAGCTTCAAAAATCATACTATTTGATATTAAGTTGATAAAGGCTAGGAGCAGAATACATAAATAAAAACACCCTTAAACCTCACAAGGACTTCATAGATGATCTCTCCGTTCTTCTGACCCACTTATCCACTCTCTCTCCTAATATCATATTACTTGCTGACTTCAGTATACGTATGGACAATAATACCCTTCTCCTCACCAGAGACTTCTTATCCTGCCTTGAAAGTGTTGTTCTCCATCAGTGCATCGAATTTCCTACTCTCACAAAAGGCCATATTCTTGATTTAATCTGCTGCTCTGGTGTCAAACCATCAAACTTCTAATCTGACACCTCGGATCATCTCCTTCCTTACCCTTAAGGATTTAAATATGGATTGCCTCTCCTCCACCATCGATAGACAATTAATCCCCAACCACTTATCCACCCCCGATTAACTGGCTGCTCAGTACATAACACCTTAAACTCAATTCTCAACTCTCTTGCCCCAGTGAAATCCCACTCTGTCTCCTTCACTCAATCTGCCCCCCGGTTTGCACCTGAACTCTAAAATCCAAAGGTTGCCTACTTGAGCGACTCCATTAAAAAAACAGTCTCACTATCCATAAAGAAGTGCATAAATCCCATATTCTACACTCCAATGACTCTATTGCAGTCTCATCCACTCTAATAAAGGAAATACCATGACTGTCTTTTCACTGCCCAAAAAAGTCCTCCAACCTCCGGACTCCCTACCCCCTCATCTGTTCCTCACCTGTAACTCCCTGCTGCAGTTTCTCACTGACAAAATCAACAATATTCACCAGAGCCTAACTGCTGATTCTCCACCCCTCTCCTCCACAGATATCTTCCGGTGATAGAGCATGATGCTCTATCTCACCCCAATGTCCTCACTCCTCTCCCCTCGTTCCCTACCTCTCCCCACTTGCTGCTCCTCCCCCTCCCCCCGAGCTCAGAGTTGAACAGTTTGATGGCTCAGGGAACAAAGGAGTTTTTGGTCCTGTTCGTTTTGCACCTGGGGAGGAGCAGCCTGTCGCTGAACTGGCTCCTCTGGGCGATGATGACAGTGTGCAGAGGGTGGCTGGCATCGTCCATGATTGCCAGCAGTTTGTTCAGTGTCCTCCTCTCTGCCACTGTCACCAGGGAGTCCAGTTTCATGCCCACTGCAGAGCTGGCCCGCCTGATTAATTTGTCCAGCCTCGATGTGTCCCTTTTTGATGTGCTGCTGCCCCAGCACACCACGGCATAAAAAAAGATGCTGACTCTGCCCCCCCTGAAGGCCACCTTCTTCCTGCTGAGTGCAGCTTTGACCTCCTGTTACTATTACTCATACCCCCCTCAACTGTGGTTCCACTCCTACCTCTCTGGTCGCACTCAGTTCATCCAGCTTAAGTCCCTCACCTCCCACCTCTCCTTCGTTACTTCTGTTGTGCCTCAGGGCTCTGTCCTGGGGCCCTTCCTCTTTATCATTTACCTCCTTCTCCTTGGCAAATTTTTCTGTAAATTTAATATCAGTTTTCACTGCTTCACGGATGACACTCAACTCTACCTCTCGACCAAACCCAATTCCACACTCCCTCCCTCCTCCCTTACCTCCTGCCTCTCTAAAATCATATCCTGGTTCACCTCAAACTTCCTCAAACTAAACAGTAATAAAACTGAGCTCCTCCTCTTTGGCACCAAATCCACTTTATCCAAAGCTAACAGTTTCTCCCTGAAAATTGACAGCTCCTCTATATTCCCCTCCCCCCAGATCAAGAGTCTGGGTGTCATCCTCGACATATCACTTTTACTTCTATCCAACATCAATAGCACCATCCGGTCTGCATATTTCTATCTTTGCAATATCTACCGTCTCCGCCCCTTCCTCACCCTCCACACTACCTCCATCCTTGTCCACAGCCTCCTGCATCGATTACTGTAACTCACTCCCCTTTGATGTCCCTCACAAATCCCTCCATAAACTGCAATTGGCCCAGAACTCTGCCGTATGTATTATCTCCAAAACCCCCTCCTCTCACCACACCACCCCAGTCCTCCAAGAACTTCACTGGCTCCAGGTCCAGTTCTGAATCAAACATCCACAACCTCGCCCCTCCCTATCTGTCAGAGCACCCCCTCTCGCTCCTTCAGATCATCTTCCTCCATCCACCTCGCCGTCCCTTCCGCTCGCCTCATCACCATGGGCTACAGATCCTTCTCCCATTCTGCCCCCCAACTCAGGAATTCGCTGCCACCAGATATCCAAAATACCGATTCACTGCCTTTTTTCAAATCCAAACTCAAAACTCATCAGTTTAGAACTGCCTTCTCCCTGTTATTTGCTTGTCCATCTTTATTTTCTTTTGTGGTGTTTTTAATCTGCTGTTTCATTGTCATTTGTTGTTTTTTTTATTGTTTTTACCCTTCTCGTAAAGCGTCCTTGAGTGCTTTGAAAGGCGCTTACAAATAAAATGTATTATTATTATTATTTTTATGTTCTTGTTTATATGTGACTGTGAGGGTCCACACATTCAATGACAGAAAGCAATAGAAAATTTACAATGGGAAATATTGTATGTACCACAAAGCTCTATTGCCAGGTAGGATTTAACAGATGCAACAGTGAAAAGTAGTGAATAGGCCTTGGTAGGGAGGAATTGTAGATCCGCTTTTTTTTTTTTTTCTAAACATTCCAAAGGCTTTGTGTGTGTGGTGGTTTTCTTCTATACTTTTTATACAACTGACTCTTTTCAGTTCAGGATTCATTCCAGCCTTCATGTTATTTGTGTTATTTCCTTAACTTCCTTTTCATAAGTTGCTGTTCCTCTATTTTTCTTCACTTTCATCTGTTTGTTTTTTCCAGAGCTCCTCGTTTCAAGGGTTACCAACAGCAAGACAGTCAGGAGCTTCTGCACTACTTACTGGACTCTATACGAGTAGAGGAAACTAAGGTGAGCTTACATGCATCATATATGTACACACACGCTTGTATTTTAATATTGTAGTTTCTTTTTTTCAATATACTATCACATTTTTTGAAAAGATCTTTTGTCATATACTTTTAAAGTTTGCTTAAGTTTTACTTTTTAATCACAGAAAGGTTCTTTAAATACACCCGAAGTACGCCTTGTACTTCAGGTGTATTTTAGTTCTTTTTTTTCTTTTTTTTAAAATATAGATTCATTTTGAACATTTCTAGCAGCAACAATAGAATGATCAAACACATATATCTAGGGTGCTGTGCCTTTTTTGAAAGTCATTCGTCTCAGCACATGGCAAAGTCATTTTTGTCACTGGCATTTGTTGTCAATCTTGTCAACCCTCTACTTGTACAATATATTCTTTGCTGTAATTTGGTAAAGATCTTAAAATCCATTCTACATTACTGTTGTCATAATGTAAGATGCTCAGCTGTGTTTTTTTTGAGTGGTTGTACGTACTCATATAACCCAATGTCATCTTTTTGATTGGATAGCCAGTTTTTGTGTTCAAACCTTATGGTGCCATGTTTTTGGCAAGGACACAGAACCCCCACCCTCCTAACCCTTCACGGGGCAATTAGGAGACCCCACAGCAGCGCTTTGGAGGGCTGAGCTGGCCCCCATGGCCCCACCAGTGGCTGCATGAACCAAGGAGGAGAAGTTAGCGGGTGTGTTTAGTGGTCAGCCCCGGGCTCAGGAGGGGCCACAGGCAAGGCTCCCCTGCTCCCATTCAAACTTGTGAACACAGACAGTTGTGCCACTTAGGGGACTTGCAAGTGGCACGACCGGCATCATTGTGTGATCTTGGGAAACACACAGCTGCTGAATGAGCTCCAGGGCCGTCCCATTGTGTTTGAGGGTCACCCACGGCCCCCCTCCTGCACACACACACACACACATACACACACTCATCAGCCCGTCTCCCAATCCAATCAAGGAGGTAGAAAGGGAGGGGGTATGGCCTCCTCTATTCATTCACTCAGAAACTCATTTATACGGCTCATTCGGGGATACAGTGGTATTTTAGCTCTACATTGTCAAATATTTTTAACAACATCATAGAAAATAATTCCAGTCACTAACTTTTCTAATAGGCCAAATACACTGTTGAAGTGTTATTGATATTGCATTTTCTCAAATGGGAAAAACAACATAATGCAAAGATCACTTCCTAAACTAACAATAATCAATCAATACCTGATTTCAACCCATCTATGTCAAATTTTTGTGTGGAGTTCCACATAAAATCAGTGCAATTAATATACACACCTTATCTTGTGTGTTAGGAAGAGACTGGTATTTTTGCATTGTCGCCAACCTTTTAGAGGCCCTAAGTGTTTGTGTTGATTGACAATTAGTATCAGAGATCTGAATATGCTAATTTGGCCCAGTCAATTATCACCAATTAGCTGAGACGGTAGGTATTACTCTCTCAGGGCATGGACTGTCCTTCTTTGCCCCGTCTTTATTTTAGTTTCCACCCCTGCACCCCTTGTACCAGCAGCCCTCTTCACGCCCCCGACTCCCCCCTCCCTTGGCCCATCCTGTGTGGGACAGTGCACGCTGTTACTTCGGGGGGAGAGAGAGGGTGCATGGGGGTTGCTGGTAATTAATTAGTAGGAGAGCCACAGCCTGGTTTGACTGTGCTGCCTGAGTGGGGTGCAGACTGACCGGGCTGGAATTAACAGGGCTTTTTGACCTAAATAGCCAGTCCAGTGCGTGGGTCCCGGGACAATGGGGGCTGACTGGTCTCGACTCAGACATAGACCATGGCCAATTATCTATTGATTGGTGCTTTACTGTGGCTGTGCCTCTTCACAGCTCTCTCACCAACACACTCACTGACCATGTCACCTCCAATAAGAGGACCACGCGAATAAAGTATACACACACACACACACACACACACACACACACACACACACACAAGCATGCACAGTTAATTAGGAGATTTATGTGTTAACGTTTTTAGACAAGCACAATAATTATTTTACACTAATGATGCTTATAATGGGTATACCTGTCAAACTCAGCTGTAGGCTAGATTGTGATATATCACTAATGGATGTAATAAAGAAATATTTTTTAAAAATATGAATTTCGGTTATATAATTTCTATAATTAATGTACTACTGAATATCATTTTCAATTTGATTTGTATTATTTTGTGTTTTTTGTTTGTAGAGGGTGAAAGCAGGAATTCTGAAGGCTTTCAACAATCCCACAGAGAAGACGGCTGATGAGGAGACCAAACGCCAAGTCAAAGGTTCATATGAACGCCACACTAGACAGATGGCCAAGATCAATAGTCCCATCTTGTGGCAGTTAAAGGGAATACAGCTCAGCTACTGAACAGTGTGGTCTTTGTTGGATTAACCTTCTGGTCTGGTTTTACATTAAAATTTTAATCGATATTATCAAGGAAATCATTTATATACCTGTCAATTAAACTGAATTACAGTGTTTAACAATCACATAATTTTATTTAAAGCATCTGGCATATAATTAGCAGTAAAACACAATTCCCATACACCATTAATTGAAACCTTTTTCTTTTTTCCATCAGCGTACGGAAAGGAAGGTGTGAAGATGAACTTTGTTGACCGCATCTTTGTAGGCGAACTTACCAACACAATTATGTGTGAGGAATGTGAGCATGTAAGTGTATATAAGTGAACCAAACCAAAGGATCTGAATACCCGGTGTGAACCAAGCAGGCGTAGCTCAGTGTGTTGCAACTTTCTTCAACCAGCCAATTCAGACAGAAGTTGTTTTAAAATAATTGTATAGCTACTCCTGAAATCCTCCCATCTCTCTTGTTTCATTCCGTTGCTTTAATCGATATTTACCAGCTGTTACATCAACTGAACATTTATGACTGAGATACACACAACCAGAGGATGATCCTGTGCTGAAAAACAAGTCAGAGAAAACAAGTTGATAGAAAGACTAACTAAAAGCACTTTAAAGACCGGCTCAAACTCGTATTGTTTACAGCACGCATTTCCAATAACATGTGGGAGCTTAGGGTGGTTAACAAAACAAATCCCACTATGCAAACTAAAGAATATCCTTGAAGGAAGAGAGCACCAGGTGTGGAGCTTCAGAAGAAAATGCAGAGAAAAAGCCACTTCCCACATCTCTTCTTAGACTTGCTGAAAATGTGCAGCAGAATTGGTTCTGATTTTGACAATTAAGGAAAATGATGATTTATATGATGACACTGACTTGCTTGGTTCTCTTTCAGATCTCCACAGTGAAGGAGGCCTTCATAGACATCTCTTTGCCCATCATAGAGGAGAGGGTGAGCTGCTGCAAAATACAATCATTGCAGTTTCATTACAAAAAAAGAACAATGGTGAATTAAGTAGTTTTCACCAGGTTAAGCCACCAGTACTTAGTTAAAGCTTCACTGATGATGCTTGTTTTTGTCGTGTTCAGATATCAAAGCCTTCCAACCCTGGTCGTCTGGGGAAGAGCAGCAGGGAGCAGGACACTCATACAGCTCACAATGACCAGGTTCTCTCTGCAGCACACTCCGTCAACCGAAATACCAGGAAGCTGAGCGGACAGGTAAGGCTCCATATGCTTATTTGTTCTTTTCCTATCTCTTTGTCTTTGTTCTTTCTTTGCTCATTGGACTCCTTAGAGTCCTGTATGTTGCTTTAAAATTATCTCAAGAAACAGCATTTAACTTTAAGTTTAGTTTCACTGTCATTTTCTCACATACTTTCCTCATAGACCACAGTGTTACACAGGGCAGAAATTTGAGCACAATTAGTGCAACAAACAAAATAATAAAACTTTTATGAGAAGGTCTTGTGAGAAAAATTGAACACTCTTTCAATAACAGTTTACTTATTTGTAAATTAAGTTGCACAAGGTGTTTATGTAAACACAGTACTGTAAACACTGTCGTTATAAATTTAATATACTGCAGTGAATTGTAAGTGCGCAGTAGGGCTGGTCTGAATACCAATTTCTGTTCACCAGATATTCGGCCCCAATTATTGATGAATATCCCGAATATTTGGGGGTGCCCCGCGGTGGTTGCGGGTGGGTATTTGTTCCCACTGGGGGGGTGCGCTGACCATTCGGTCCGACGGGGCATGAGTGAGCAGGCGATTCCACCAGTCGCCATACTGTATCCGCAATCAGTGGCGGCGGCAGCGGGGGGGATATTAACAGATCAAAATTGATAGCCCCATTGCAGCACAGCGAACAAATAGTCAACTAATCGGGTCCAACTCTAGAGCGCAGTCGTAGCTGTCGATGTAGTGAATCAGGTCTGTTCATGTGGTCTGTGTGGAGGGTTGCGTTGGCCTGGGTGTCCATGGGAGGGGATTGTGGGTATAGGAATGGCTGTGAAGTTTAAAGTATTCCTTCTGAAGCTACTTGAGAAAATTTAACACTGACAACTCCTGGAATCTTTTCTGTGAATGCTTATTCACTTTGGAGCCATGTGAAAAATTTTTATAAGAATGTCAGCAGTTGGCCTGAACAACTCGTATTACAAGTGAATCGAGGTCCAATCAATTAAACTAGCAGAGTCTGCATCTCTAAAACCAGACGACTTTCATGTTCTGCTTTTCTACAGAAGCAGCAGAGCAGGAGATCTTCCAGTTCTGTTGAGGAGAAAGGAGCAGGCTGTGGTGCAGAGCGACCGGAGGATGAAGGGGTAGCTGGTGGATCAGCCCGTGGTGTCTCGATCTGTAAAATGGCGGCTGCTGGCAGCCTATCAGATGGCAGCGAAAGAGACTCGGGTGCTCAGGACAGCAGTAACGATGCTGACAGTGAGGCCTCCGAGAGTGAGTGGGCCCCACGTGCCTCCTCCTCCAGCCACAGCCACGGACACATGTCCACCCCATCATCCACATCCACACTCACTCCATCCCCTACACCTGTCTCTGCCTCCTCTCCCTCGTCATCATCCTCCGCTAGACAAGGTGGCACTGTTGAGCAGCTGGTCACTGCAGTTTCTAAAGTCAATCTGGGCTTCAGTTCTGGCGATTGCTCCACTTCCACACACTGTTCTCCCGAGGAGCAGGAAGAAAAACAAACCCGAGATAATCTGCACCATCAACACCATCAGGGGGCGTTCCAGGTGCTGTCCCACAGTTACACACCCAGCTCCAAGGAGTGCTCCATCCAGTCCTGCCTCCACCAGTTCACCTCTGTGGAACTGCTGATGGGCAACAACAAGCTGCTTTGTGAGAGTTGCACTGAACGTAGGCAGAAGCAGCTACGCAAGAGCAGCTCAGCAGGTAAGACACACCATCTGGAACCACAGTGCAGAAAGCCAACGTGCAAATGATTTGATATCGGAAATATAATTTTAAAACATATATGAAACTATTACAGAAATACTGTGCACAAAATCCACGTTTTGAACGTCCAACATCCCCTCTAAGCTCCATAGTTAATTCTACAAAGTTAGTAGTTTTGTCTTTCATGAAACATGGTGGTTGTAGACAGTTTGAATTCACTCCAGTTACAATAGATTCTAACAAGCAGCATTTCTTTTTTCTGGAAAGATTTATCAAAACATAAATACATGTCCCTGCAGTATCATCTTCTTATTTACTGTCTGAATGTGTGTTCATAATGTTCCAAACACTCATATTGCTGCCAGTATGGTTCTATACACAGCTACCATCTCAGTCCTTGACTCTGATGCCTGACCCTGTTGAGTTCATCAGCTGCAGCATGCGTTTACTCACATCAGAGCAAATCCTTGCTAGTGTCTGAATGAAGGGCTAAATTAGGGCTAACAATGATTTTGCAGTTGGCAATTTCTCTAAGTGCACAAGGGTCATCGTGATCCTGTAATAAGTAGCTGCTGTTTCTGCGTTTGTATAAATTGCTTGCGCTTTTTTTTACTTTTTTTCTTTACAAGAAACTTTTGAATGAAGTTGAATTAATGGTTTACTGCTTAAACATGACCTTCCTTTGTGTTATGTGTGATTTGCACAGATAAGAAAACTGAGAAAATTTATACCAGTGCTAGGAAACAGATGCTGATATCTTCACTGCCTCCTGTCATCACATTGCATCTTAAACGCTTCCACCAGGTAGGTAGACACATTCTTCTCTTCATCAGCCTCCATGTCATCTGATGGTGACAGTGAATATGTATCCCAATCAGTCACCCTGAGAGAGTTTTTGCAAGCCTAAAGGATTCAACTGTTTTTTTATTTTGTTTTTGTTTTTTTTACATTAAGGCCGGGATGAACCTACGAAAGGTGAACCGCCATGTTGACTTTCCTCTGATACTGGATCTGGCTCCATTTTGTTCTGCATCTTGCAAGGTATCACTTTATCACTTCTGCTGTAGAGATTTCATTCCATCATAAAAAAGTCACAAGTCAGCTTTAAGTGGACAAATATTTAATTTACTCTACATTTATCTTAATTGTTTAATTTTCAAATTTCTGATAGGGTTTTCTACCGGTAAACGTTTTCTACATTTACTATCGCCATATTACTTTGGTAGTTCAGTTTGTTTTGAATGTCCTTGGTTGGTGCTCATCTTGGAGACCTGCATTTATGTATCTTTACTTTTTTTTTTAAAAGTTCTGTTTCTCTTTTTGCTATTCTATTTTTTCCACCTTTTTGCTAGAACTTGGCAGCCGGTGAGCGTGTCCTCTACAGCCTTTATGGGATTGTGGAACACAGCGGCTCAATGCGCGGGGGCCACTACACCGCATATGTAAAAGTGCGTGCTCCCCAGAGGAAAACAGAACAACACCACAAGAACTTGTCAGGTCAGGGGTGAGCTCTCTTGAGCTCTTCTTAGACCTTCTATCTATGTTTTTTGTGTCTCTGTGTTTGTGTGTGTTCATGACAGCGGTCAGTATTTGGGCAACAAAGGCCTGACTCCCTGTAACCTTGAAGACATCCTCCACAAAGGAGAGGATGAATAGAGGTCTTTTTGTTCAGTAGAGCCATCCTGTTTTCTCCTTTTTTCATTCTTTTCAAAGAGAGTGTCCAGATTTACAGAGTAGTACTGAAGGTGGTTGAAAAACTCAGGGAAGCAGTTGTCCTTGCTGCGAACAAGCTAATGTAAGACATATTATAGTTGGAGCCTTTGGTTGGTGATGACACAGGGGTCCGACTTGTTATTACAATGGCTGCTGACAGACTGGCTTAATCATGTAATACCTTGTCTTGTCACATCCATCATGAGTTAAAATTCATCCTCCACAATTTTACCTTTGTCTGTTATTGCTGCTTTACATGAAGTGCAATATTCTTAGTTTAATTTACTCAGATAAATATAAAAACAGTTATTTTTACATGTGATACTGCAAATACTTGGCATATACTATGAAGCCATACAATCAGAAAAAAATTTGTCTGTAAATCAGCACACTATTGATTTCTAATACAGCACCAAGTCGTCAGTCTCAACATAGGTGTTTGAACATGAGAATCTTATGTCGTTTCATTCATTGAATTCAACTCAGAAAATCTTTGATTTTAAATCAATTATGAGTTTTGTACATATGACCCTTAATAGACAGTTTTAGACACTGGCTTCACTTCTTGGCTACAGTTTGCTAGACAGTACAAACTTTGGTTCCTTTGTGACATGTAGAAGCTTTCACAAACATCTATGCAACTTTTATTTTAGTCTCGTTTCCTCACTGGATAGCAATATTTTAGCATTGCTGTTGTGGAAACATGCTATGAAAGCCCTCACTCATGTTTGACCAAAGCAAACTTGACAGACTGAAAAAATACCCAGTCACCAACAAATGACCAACCTTGTTTTCCCTTGTTTCACCTTGTCTGCACCCCATATTAAGCTTTTGTGCCTCATAATATCCATGCTGTGTGTTATTCAGGTGCAAGGGATGCCAGCAGCAGCTCCCAGGGCCAGTGGGTGTACGTCAGTGATACCACCGTTCAGACAGTTCCAGAGTCAAGGGTACTCAACTCTCAGGCATACCTGCTCTTCTACGAGGAAATGCTGTAACGCGACCGGCAAAAGTCTTTTCCTTAGATATCTGTTTTGCTTTGTTTGTTTTTGTAAAGCCTCTCCAGCTCCTCTTACTGTATCTGTGAGAATTTGGAGGCGAGAAAAGGGAAAAACGTCACTGTAAAACTCACTTGTCTTACTTATATTGGCACTTCTAAATATCTTAGATATATAAACCATAAACAAATTTTAAAGGTATTTCCTGGTTTGTAGCCCAGATTTTCATTAATGTTTCGTATTTCACGAATCCTGTCTTTCAAAAGAGGTCAGGAGAGAAGAGTGTTATTGAACCTGAGCTGTTCAAAATGTATGGTCTCGTCTTGGTCATAATCACATGCTGGGATGTAAACTGCATGATGGAGTTTGCTACGATGGCTAACTGGAAACAAGCAGAATTATCGCATGCTAAACTGCACTCAGCGCTGACTAGTTGATGTCAGTTGTGTATGTGAGTGTGTGCGCACATGAGTATGAAAGAATGAGTGAGTGAGTGAGAGACAGGCGAATGTAGTTTAAAGGTGCTATGTGTGCTATTTTCACATCAGTATATGACTGCTAGGTTAAATCACAGTTAGCAGTGTAGTTGTACAGTTGAATATTAACACTCAGGACCATCATGGAGGACACCGGCTCCCCACAAAATGTTTTCTATTGTGAGGCAATGACACAAATTTGGTGAAATTGTGATTGTTTCTGACATTAGCAGACAATAAATGGTAAAAAAAAAAAAAAAGTCAAGAGAAGAGTGAATTCAGGCGTGTTTGTTCTCTGCATGGAAGAAACTTACACTCAGCATGACAACAAGAAGCAGTATCATTTGGGCCTTATGGGAATTTTGCTTGTGTATTCAAAGAAATTGAAAGACTAATATATTGTAAGGAGTAATAACTCTTATCACAGCTAACAGTGGTTTACATTTATATGCTGACTGAAGCCGCTGCACATAGCATCTTTAAGGAGTAGCACAACAGTTATTTTACAGCCTACTGCGAATGGATTGTTTTCCTAACATCAGAATGTATTAATGTAAGACTATCAGTGAATTGCATTTGCCAAAGACGAGTTTTGCAACTGCGAGTCTAAGCAGAGTTTACTTTATTCAGAATTTCCTTAATGTGTGTTCTCTCAAGGTCATCGATATAGTTCTCATGTGTCACTACACAAACAGACGCACTCAACGTTTATCAAATCAACAAAGCACCTTGTCTGCCTTCATTGTAATACAGCTCTACTGTAACTGCAGGCGCACACACAAACCCATTAAGCTGCTCAACAAAGAGTCAGCACCGCAACAGACTTACTTTCTATTCTCTAATGCCATCAGTAAGGTTGAGCAAAAAATAAAAAAAGATTTTCAAAGTCAACTTTAAAGCTAAAAGCCTGATAAGAAAACATCTTTGCTGTAATGTGCATGGGTTCAAGTTCTAATGAATGTATTGCCTATTCCTGAAATGTCCATGTCAAATGACCCGTTTGTGTTTTTCTATGAAAATATTTTAGATCAAACTATTTTCTTTTTTTTTCTGCTTGTTGGACATTTGCCAAAATGGTAGAAGGACAGGGGTTCAACATTTGCATCAGAGCCTAGAGGTTTATTATTTTCTTTTGAAACAAGGACAAATCAGTGCCTCTGCTTCAGGATTTACAAACTTGTGCATGGCGAGAAGAAAAAATATGCAGAGTCAAATGTAAAGAGGGATATGTGTGGTTTTATTTATGTACAGTACAACTTACTGTAAACAAAAACAATATTGAGTATATGTAATTGTACATAGTAGACACAATACAGACTCATGGTGCTTCAGGCGTGCAGGGTTTTTTTTTCCTCAAGACAGATTATTGTTCCCAGAAATTGACATTTAAATTCAGTTATGCACTTATACACATGGAATGAGTATAAACCATACTGTATCAAAATAAATCTAATTTATGAGCTGTATATTCAACAGGACCCGTCTCTCTTTGTGTTTTTTTTTTTGTTTTTTAGCCTCTCGCAGAAGAAAAATCACAACGGATTTTGTGTTTTCTGCTTTGGAATTGATGTCATGATGTTTTTACTCTAAGCGAGATGTTGTCGACCATCTCTCTGGGCTGTCACTGTGGATCCCATGGTGCCATATTCAGAGCATCTTCGCCCGTTATCGGCCCTGACGGGTGCAAAGCAGCACTGCTTCAGAACATGTCGTGAGCTGGTGAAGAGGAGGTGGGTGTAGAATCAGGAAAAGGGCAACGTCATCGCCTTGCACGTCCTCTTGTTCCCACACGCTGTGACATCCCAGTCATGCAGCTGGAACGTTAAAACAGGTTGTCAAGCTGCCACCAACAAAAAGAGCAAAGCTTTTCTGAAATGTATTTGTCTATTTTTAAAGTGGGAAGGGGGAGGAGGGCAGAGCTTCTTGCTGGAGGACATGCTGCTGAAGCATTTCATGTGATTTAATCTCATTTAATGAAAGGCACCCTCCCCCCTGTGTGAGACAGTTGTAAGAAACTAATAAGGTGCTGCTGGCTTGCTCATCTACCAGCAACAGAGGTTAAATTTTACTGCTCTCACCATGCAAGCTGCTGTCACTGTCAGCCTCACCTATCTCCCCGTCACACATACACTAATGCACAGCACGCGAAACACGTTCTCTTAGGCAGACGTGTACACACGTAGACTGCATATGCCCGAGGCCTTGCTCCTCATACTACATACACATCAACACCACTGAACAACACCTGCACATAACCTTTTGTTTAAGTAATTTATGTGTAACAATTATATTTCCTCAGTTTTTTGAGGAAACGTTAGCAACTGCTAAGATGAAAACAGTCACTGCACACCAGGCACTTCACCCAATTACGAAATTATAGATAAATGAAAAATATTTTTTTGTTTCGGTCACACTCACCAGCTGTTTGTAACACTGGACTATTGCTGACTGAAAAAAAAGTGAATTTTGCTGTTTGAATTTTACTTGCTGCTGTTCAGCCGAGTGGACTACAGAGGTCTGATTAATTTACTTCTTTCTAACTTCATGCCTTCAGATTTTTCATTTTTGTGTTTGTTGTCTTCAGCCACAGTTGACGTTGACTCAAGTCACACAGCCGTAGACCTTCCTGTGTGAAGGCTTTATACGACTTTTCCAGATCAGCAGTAGAGCTCTACAACACCTTTCGTCTGACCAGCCATCTAAACAGTCACAGATTGTGAGCTGATTGTCAGACAAAGCTATAAAAAATGGCAAACATTCGTTTTAATGTTTTCCGTCTTTTTTCCTTTTAGAAAGAGTTGGTATCTGGTCACCACGTGGTATCTATTGCTCTATTCACTCCCAGCTCAAATACAGAAATTGGGTCATGAAGTCCTCCACAAGGCTGAGGATTTGGATTTGTGAAATGAAATGTTAGCTGCGAACAGGTCAGTCTTACTTCTGTCTTCTGGTTGTGAATGTTAAAATGAATTCTTGTTCCTGATGAAGATTTTTTTTTGTCTCCATAAGAAGAGAGATGCACCTCCAGAAACTAGGCAAGTTCTCTACTGTTTAGTAAACAGTTTATAGCATGCACCAAGGACTTGAAGTTGTAATGCTTGAATTTAATAATTCAAAGCAACAATAAACAAATAAAATGATTTTAAAAAATGATTTTAACAGAAGGCAGAATTTCAGCAAAAGGCCATAAAATTCTTTTTCAGTCATCTTCAGGCCTGACAAAGAAGCAGATGTGTTTCTGCAGCCAACGCAGGAGAGAGCTGCATCCAGTTCTCTTTGTCTTTTGAGCCTCTGGAAAAGCAAAGCAAGACAGTCAGTGCTTGAATTCCACCCAGCAAAACAACCAGTTAACACAGTGTGAATGGACCTGATGGCTCAGACACAAGTGAATGGGAATAATAATCGCTACCTGTGGTGCTGATTAAGGATTGCTCCACCCGGACTGGCTGCTCTGTGATGATCAGCTCATCCTGCACTGCACTGATGACGGGAGACTCATCAGCAGGAGTCACAGGAGGTGGAGGAGTGGAAACCTCAGCAGAGCCTACTTCTGGCCTTTCACAGTCCATCTTCATCAGTTCTATTGTGTGAGTGTGACTCTGAACCAGACCACAGATCTCTTCAGCTGCAACACTGGTGATGGTGTTCAGCATGTCTGCTGCCAATCAGTTGAGTCTCTCCACCAGCACGTCTTCAGGGTAGCTCTGCCGAAGCTTTTCCTGAATAGACAGGACCATGTGGTCTCTGATGCAGTGGGAGAAGGTGACCTGACAGAGGACGGTGGACAGAGCAGCAGAGACCCGGTCCTCCACTGCTTTTGTGACGCCAACAGCCATTTTACTGAACTGCTGGGAGGACGTGTTCAAGGAGGTGCTTGAAGGAGTCAAGTAGAAGCCCTGCAGGACTTTTGGAACCACCTCCATCACCACTTTCTGCAGGCTGAGCGGTTTGGAGCTTGGAGCCTCCCGCTGCTGCTCTGTGAGCTGTCTGGCATATTTCTCAGCCTGGCTCATGATCCTGTGGTGCCTGAAGGTTTCATTCATTCAGTATTAGTTTTCAACCACAGAAACATCACCACAACTGTGCTTCAACTGATAGTAAATGTTTCAAACATAACTCACTTCAGGTGAGGAGGCGTGGCCTCTGGTGTGTTGAGCAGCCTTCTGGCTTCAAGCTCAACATCCCTCATCTTCATTCTGGTGTTCACCTCCCACACCTGAAACAAGGAGTGAAATATGATGAGCAGACTGGACATATGTACAGGAGAAAATCCAATGTCATGTTACAAAGTCCAAACTACTTCTGCATCTTTTAGGATGGTGGTCCTACCAACCTGAGAAGGAGTCTGACATCAGCCTCATCAAAGTGTTCCACATCATCCTTCCAGAGCCTTGAAACAGACACAAAACACAACTTCATCTTCACTGTTCCTCTCCTGCTTATTACATACAGAGCTAAAGTCAAGTGTAGTGCTGAACTGGGAGTGTGTGTTTGTGTGTGTGTCAGTAACTGACATGAATCTCAGTGAGTGTTTGCTCTTCTCCACCAGCAGCTCAGTCATGTCTTCAGCAGTCATCTCAGAGGGGAGCTGCTGTTTCTGCTGCAGCCTCAAAAGTTCAACCATCAGTCCGATCTGATCAACAAGCAAGAGCCCTCATGTCTTTGTGTTTCCGTGCACGACATTGTTCATGAGATTTTACCTGCTCCTTTCTTTTTGTGTGACATGAAACTATAGATGCTCCTACCGGAGATTGACAAGAGGCCATGTGCCAGCAGGTCTGCAGAGTCTGCTCATACATCGGCGTGTCAAACAACATCTGTGAAGGAAACATAATAATGTTGCTTCTTAGTTTGTCCTCTAAAGTTTAAACTACATCTGAAAATGTTGTCAGATTAACTCCACTAACAAAAACCTCTCACATAACTTGATGGGCCTGTAGATGCCACAGGTTTCTTCAATAAACTCCATGAATATTTTGATGCTGTATATCTCAATACAGAGCAGGTTTAAATGTGAAAGCGACAAGAAAAGTTTTACAGCGATTGTAAGCTGAGCGGTAAAGTTGAGAGTCCTCAAACAGAGTTGATCCTTCAGACACAGATGAACAGTGTGTGTTCAGGTTGAAAGGTGAGTTGAAGTCTGCAGAGAAACTGTCAGTTTTGAGTCGAACTGTCAACAGTCTAACATTCTAATGGAACATTTCATTTCTGGGTCAAAGGACACCTGATTGACCAGCAGTCAATGAGGGACTTAACAAAAATTGGAAATGCTTCATGATCCAAGTGTGTGAATCTGTATCCTGATAACCTGTATTTTAAATGCACAACCTACATGCATGTAAAAATAAATAAATCCAATATAAATGCAGAAACCCAGCCCAGGACCATGGTGCATGTGTGTTTGAGTTTATGGATCTGCAAAATGACAGATCTGGATCCTTCCATTGATTATCTATGCAGTGTCAAGTCGTGGAGGGGCTGGAGCCTATCCCAGATGACTTAGGGTGAAGGCAAGGTACGAACACACAGAGACAGACAAACAAGCACACTCACATTCACAATTATGGACAATTTAGAATCACCAATTAACCTCAGCACGTCTTTGGACTGTGGGAGTAAGTCAGAGAACCTAGAGAGAACCCACGCTGCACGGGGAGAACATGCAAGCTACACACTGAAAGACCCCAGGCCAGGAGTCGCTTCACCATGCCATGCCACAAATCTGCATAATAAAACAAAAGACTATTATTAACAAGGACTACAGAATTTTATCAATACAAGGCTTTTTTTCTTTCAGGAACCAACACCAGTGTAACAGATGGCATTTCATTTGCATTTGTGGATTCCAAAATATTTATTTTCAACATTGCTAGACTTTCATGTTTTATATGAGAACCAAAATAAACATTTAGAGTTAAAATCACTTTGCTGCTAAGTGGTTGGATTGCACTTCAACCTTCCTAAAATGACTGTTTCAAAGAAAAAAAGAGTAATGATATCATTAATTCCAACAGTATGTTCTGTTTTATTGTTGATCCTTCAACACTGCCACTCAGGCACCAAAGAAAAGCTGTTTGGTGGTGACAAACCTCCATTTGCTTTTCATTTGTTGGTTCCAATATCCCTGCTTCAGCTCAGCAAAGAGTCAGCAGGTTAATGGACCACTTTGCTCCTGTTAACCCCCGTTTTATGTCTCCTTCTGTTTATTATTTCTATATTGCAAAATTATGTACTATTTCTCCACGTTTGCAGTGTTTTAATTTTTTTTAATCTACATATTATTTTAGCAACATGCACCATGGAAACTCAGCACCAGCTGAAATGATGATTGTTTTCAAATTAATTGTGGATTAAAGAATCCTGCACATCACAGTTTCAGATGGTGTGGTGAGGCCTGAAGGAGCTTATCATGTCAGGGCTTTGATTTCATGTTGCACATAGACACCATATTGATTATTCTTCTGTCTTTTTTACAGTCAGCTTAAATAAGGTTGGAAAGCAACTGCTCATGTTGTCCATTGTAGCTTCTTAAGTGATTTATGTCTGTATAAAAAGGTCCAAGCTTGACAAATAAAGGCTAGTGTTTGTTTTGTTTTGCAGACAAGTGACTTTTATTAAATGCATCGTCTTTAGATGCTTATTACAGCACCTGACTGACTGTCTTACACTTCTGAAACAGTTCGGCACTGTTGTGTTTTTATCCTCAGCCTCATCAGCATCTGAATCCCTCCAGGAGTCGATGCTGCCTTTACTTGCTGCTCGTTTGTTCTTGCTGAGAAATGAAGAAATCATAGCAAAAGGTCAGTCACTAGTTAGTAGTTAGATGTGTTTAAGTAAATAAATCAGCCAAATAAAAATATGACTTAATCAACAAAAATAGACAAATTGGAACTTAGTGAACTGACAACAAGTTGTCATAAAAGAGGTGTGTTTAATGATATTGACAACTACTGGGTAGCTTTGTCACTAACTTTTCCAAGTGATTAATATTAGATCTAATATTGATGTCTACGTTATTTCCCGGTAGCCCTAAACTGACTGAATTAGATTAAAGATTACCTTTGCATTTTGTTTGCTGACATTGTTCTGATAAAGGTCTTCTTTTTTTTTTTTTATTCAGTCAGAGATTCACACATTGTTAAACATTTAGTAGCTTTAATGGAAACTACAAATATAACATTTTGGAAGAAGGAAAAACAACTGCCACAATACGACACCTACACCTCTGTGGTGGACAAATTGTACACTCAAAGGCTGTCTGCGGTGTCAGAGAGCGATGAGGACTCTTTTAGCTCTGCTCGCCTTAAACGGCAGCGTCACAAAATTAGAACTCAACATAATGCCTGCATTGTCGCATTTCCGACAGACGTGAAGGCAGCAGAGCTTCGGTTCACACTTCCTCCTAACAGCTCGCTAGCGCAGCCATTTTGATTTGGAGCCGCATCGCCGGAGAGGCTGCCTGGGAAAGGTGGGAATTATGTTACGAAAAGCACAGCGTCGGTGTGAATTCCATGCAGACTTCCCCATTTGCCCGTATTCTAAACGAAAAGCACATTTATTCGGCTGTTAGATGACTGTGCTACTATCTGCTAGCTTTCAGACTTAGCTTAGCTAACGTTAGCTCGCGTTAGCTCGGTTTAGCTTCCTTAGCTCATAAACTCATGGCCCAAGGAAGACTTAGAGGTTGGAATTTCGCCGGCCCTAAATGTATTTTGGTGTCTTACGTCAATAATGGCATAAGATCCCAGACCACACAGCGTGTGTGTCCACCATTAACAGATGAAATGGTCTCCAGGTTGCTCGAGTCGCTAACGTGCAGCTAGCCGGTGCGCTTGAAGTAGCACTTATATTAAAGCTGAAGCTCACTGTTTTCTGGCCATTAGTCGAGTGCAATTTATAGCGCAAAGATTACAGCACATCACGTCATGCCAGCTGAAGTCACGCTGAGGGTGCACATTGAAAATTGAAGTGGCTGGTTTGCATGTTATAGGTGTGAATCCAGAGAGGAGTGATGTGGGACCAGGGAGGACAGCCCTGGCCGCAGTGGCCTTTGAGCCAGCAGCAGTGGATGCAGTCTTTCCAGCACCAGCAAGATCCAGGTCAGTGAATGATGCATATGCATCACCAAGGCATTTTTCCTCAAAAGAAACATGCATTTCTAAGTCTTTCTTGCACATCTACCTGCAGCTAACTACCTTGACTACACATGTGTTATCTTGCGCATGGTGTATTTCAAATTTATGGATATATTCTGACTTTGTGCAGGTCAAGTGGACTGGGCTGCCCTGGCACAGGCATGGATAGCCCAAAAAGAGTCGACAGGAACAGAGCAGCATAATATCCAACCCAATGGCCAGGACATCCCAGGCATTGAATCTGTCGCACAGAGTAACCATGGTGCCTTCCAGGGTGACCCAGCATTTGGCAGAATGTGGCAGCCAGGTACACAAACGACAGGGCGAGCTGATAGCCAAGTGTTTAAGGCTCATGCCATATGGGCGCTGATGCCGTCAGCAATAACCCTTGACTGGCAGGACCGTAACTGCAAGTCATTCACTTGTTCTCTTTCCCCACAGATCATGTCTCTCCAATATTTAGCATCTATTTAAGGCCAAAACACAAAAGGAAAATGTAAAATAGCTTTGACCCATAGCTGGCTTTGACCCATTTTTCACTTTCAGTGTTGATTCTTTTTTTCACATTTTTTGCACATGTGTTTTTACTACCTTTTTAGTGCTGTTTATAAAACCTTGGTATTACCTATGGAAAAGAGTAGAATTAGAATTTTGACTTGATATTTGCCTATTTAAACCTAATTTGCCTTTAGGCAGATGTTGAGCACTAAGAACAATTGAAATTTCTTTTGTTTACTAATTATTCTGTGATTACCAGAATGGGGAATGCATGGCCAGCCCCCTCCCCCTCCACCCCCTGAACAGGCCTGGATCCCTCCAGGGTCAGGACCAATGGATGTGGTGAACCCCAGTGAGGACAGCAATAGCCAGGACAGCGTGGAGTTCAACTCTGAAGCCCACCATGGGGTTTACCCCCAGAACAGCCATGGGTATGGGGCACAGCCCGACAGCTACGCCATGGCCCCCATGGCCATGAACCAGTTTGATTATCAGGTATGCAGATGCTACAGTAGAAACTGTTGAAGCGTTTCAGTTTTAGTGTGACAACCAAGTAACACAAGAAGGAGCAATCCATAGAAACTGTGCCGGGTCCAAGCATCTAGGTGTATCAGTCATTGCTTTCTCGATGCTGTGCAGAGGAAGGTGTTGGCTTGTTGAGGATCCAGCATGGTTTGGTATTGTTTTAGTAGCTGATTTTTATTTTATTTACTTACATTTTCATTTTTAAACCAGGCAGACTTTCTGGCCTAGTCAGGAGTGATGGATGAATGTCATGCTCTGGGGAAAGACATCGGCAACCCCATACTCAGCTGATTGCCAGAAGCAGAGGATTTTTGGTACTTTGAACTACCTTTAATTTTCAGTTTGTGCTATCTCTCCACAGCATGGAGCTGCTTCATCCTTCGCCCCCACACCCACAGGTTTCCACTCGCCATACTGGCAGGGTCCTCCTCAGAACAGGCGAGATACCAGACCACCAGGGTTCAGAGACCGGCCCAGATCCCCGATCCAGCTACCAGTCAAACCTGAAGCCCCAGCTCCACTTGGTGAGTCAGGATATCTGCAGGTCTTCTAAGTCTAAAAAGGCATTGGATTCAGCCTCCAGAATTCAATGCCAATAGAATAAAAAGTCTAAAGTTTCATTTCTGCAAATCTTAAATATTTTGTCATATTATTTGAAAAAAAAATATAATGAGGAATTATTGTTATATCCAGGAGGAAATGTATATACTGAATAGCTGTAGTGTGTTTTTCCTTGCTGGGTTTCCATCAGGCTTTCATACTTTGTATAGTAAGATGATGATGCAGAAATTATATGTGATGTTAAAAATCTCGCTGAAATGTTGAAATACAGTTATTCAATGAATGCAATTTTTTTTTCTTTTAAATCATTGCAGTCCTTTTGGTTTTTTGTCAGTCTGTGGATGGTATGGCCATGAAAATGGCATTATAATTGAGTGAACCCTACAAAGACATTGAGTGCATTTTCGCTCAACTAAGCCAGAAAATTAAGATAAAGACTGCTTGAGGTCCATGGATATATATACTGTTCTGTATGTGTGCTGATTCTCAGAGAGGCAGCTTTCTGAGCAGCTTTTGTTTCTGTGTTTTGCTGTTGTCCATATGTATAAAAAAAAATACGTGTGTGTTTACAAGCCATTTTAAACAAGTGTATAAGCATAAAAGAGGCGAGCGCAGCTTTTAAAAGACTGAGTATGTGGATAGTTCATTTTGACTTTGAACTTCACCTTTAGATGCTGTGAAAAGACGCACACTACCTGCATGGATCCGAGAGGGTCTTGAAAAGATGGACAGGGAGAAGCAGAAAAAGCTGGAGCGAGAGCGAATGGAGAAGGAGAGAGCAGAAATGGCAAAAGATGATGGCAAAGAGCATGAGGCGGACGAGGAAGGTGATGGGCCACGTGTGCCCCGCAAGAGTAAATTTGTAAGCAACTCATTTCTGTCCTTGACTACAGAATGGTTCCTTTAAAAAACTGGTTACACTGTGTGTGCTCTGCTAAAGATGAAAGAACATCCATTAACACTTTTCTCTGCATATAAAGCTGGCCTGGTGCAGTGATTGCCTCTACAAATGCACACTTTGCCCTGTTCTTGCTTCAAACTCAGTCTCTGCATCTTTTTTTTTTGCATCAGGACAGTGACGATGAGGGGAATGATGATAATGATGAAGATGAAAAGATTTCCATAAAGAAAGAGTTTTCTGTCAGGAGCCCTTCACCTCCTGTAGAAGACAGTGAACCAGAGATGACTGAGGAGGAAAAGGAGTTCCAGCTGGTTAGTTTGACTATTCATGTCATGTCAACTGCAAGCAGACTATTGGAGGTAATGTGATTGTTTTTCAGTAGGAATCATTGAAAATGCTGAGATGTTTGTGTTTATTTTCTATTTTTGTAGATGATCATCACCAAAACTCTTCTGACAGAGATCCTTCTCGAGGTTACAAATGAAGAGATCCTGCACGTAGCCAGAGAAACTCACAGGAAAGCCACTCGAGGTCTGCTCTTGTCTTTTCCCGTTAATGCATCATCTATGCTTGTCACCAAGACATTATGTTTAAATCTGGAGAGAATCCATTATGTGCATAATAATCTCTTTAAATTGCTGTTATGCCCTGTAAGCTAGGGCGTTTGAGCCGGAACATGGGAGTACATCAAATATGTATTTTCAACCATTCTCTGCTAATGCATCAGAAGGAGAGAGCAGAGCCATATTTTCCACAAACAATGTTTAGAAACCTGTTCATCATGGTACTGAAGGTCCTGCTGAATGGCTGTATGGCTGAATTAAGTCTCAGCACTGACTCTCTGGCCAGCACTCATCTATAGATACAAGTCACTTCTTTCATTGAAGGGACTGTGCATTAGTACAGATTGGTTCTTTCCCTCCTGTCCGACTGTTTGACTTGGATTGTGTGACAGAAGCTTGTTTGTTAATCCTCTCTCTTTTCTCCATTTTTTTTTTTGTTTTTCTTTCTTTTTTCTTTTTTTTTCTCTCGTTACCAATGGCAGCTCTTGTGAATAGTGCTTTATCTGTGACCCCCTTCTCTAGCGACTCTTGCCTTTGAGAAATGGCAGTATGTGTTTTAACATGTTGTTCCTGTTGTTGATGTGAATCAAAGCTCCTGCAAAACAGCTGGCACAGTCAAGTGCACTGGCTTCTCTGACTGGTCTCAGTGAGTATCCCTTTTTCTGTCACTGGGGGGGAGGGAAGGGAAATATATTTATTTTTTTAATACATGGTGGAGTGTTAGTAGCCACGTGGGAAAAGCTGTTGGCACAAGACATGGTACCCAAATGCGTTACCAAGTTTTTAAGAGTAATTAAGGCAGAAGTGGCATCTGATTTGCGTTTTGCACTTTGGTATTAGAAGCATGCTCTCGAGTAAAAAGTATTTACATGAGTGTTTTAGGTGTTTAAGGACTATATGTATACTCTTTGTTCTTAAGAGGCTTAATAGTGTGAAATATAAAATTATGCAGGATTAAGTGCCTTTCATGGGGACCTTGGGTTGGGATTGAATGGTTTCATGAGGGGAACCTGATTGTGAGAATGGATCTTGGTCCCTTCCAACACTCAACAACCTGGGGGCTCTGTTGTGGCAGGCGGGCTGGGTGACTATGGTTCAGATGAAAGTGAAGATGAGGATGGCCGCAGCGTCCGAGGATCCGAATCTTCTGACACAGATGAGGAAGAGCTACGCCACCGCATCCGGGAGAAGCAGGACGCCTTCCGCCGCAAAGAGCGGGAGATGCAGCAGCTGCAAGAAAAACAAGCACAAGAGGCTCTGCTTGCACGTGGTAAGACTTGAATTTTTTTTCAGTGATTTTTTTTGTTTTTTTTTTTTTTGTTTTTCTTTTGTTTTTGTTTTTTTTTTTAAGTAAGAACACACATTATTTTCAAATGCCAGAAATCCTCCAAGGTCAGTTTTCAAAAGGAAAAAAAAGAAGTTTAAAACTGATGAAATCTTGTTGCTTCCTTACATTTTGTTGCTCTGTGTAATTTGGCTGTTTTCGTTGTTTTTTTTGTCTTTTTTTTTATTGCTCCAAATACAAATCGTAGTCCCAACAACTACGGAAGATTTTGACTATAGTTTGTTGTTGTATTGTTAAAATAGACATTTACAGATTGGTGCAAATGGTTGCAACATTATCTTGAGGTTAAGGAACCGTTTCTACAGTTTCAAACTAGAACCTAATTCAAGGTTAAAGATAGTATTTATAGTGAAGTTGCAGTGTGTTCCTGATGTTTCTTGGTTTATTTTTAACCTGAATGTTTGTTGTCTGTTTGTACAGAAGAAATGGCGAAGGAGAGATTGAGCAGAGAAAGGGGGGAATATGATGAGGGTCAGTTGGAAAATCCACACAAACAGGAAGTAAAAGAGAGGGAGGCAGAGCCCTTAGGAGACAGGCGTAGGTCTCGTAGTGAGAGGGAAGGTAGTGAGGGCAAGCACTCAGGCAGAGGGAAGGAGCGATCAGGGAGAGGCGGCAGCGATTCCCCAGCCAACGGTCACAGCAGCAGCTCCCGCTCCACCTCCAGCCACAGCAGCAGTCGTTCTTCCTCATCCTCCTCCTCTTCCTCAGCATCTTCTCGTAGTTCTTCTCGATCCTCCTCCCCACGACGGAAGAGGAGGCGTAGTCGCTCTTCGTCCCACAAGGCCCGTCGGCGCAGCAGAAGCCACAGCTCCCACAGGCACCGTAGTGATCGTAGTGAGAAGGGCAGGGACAGGAGGAGGAGCAGTGCAGAGCGATCAGGCCGCCACAAGAAAGACCGCAGTGATTCCAGGGAGCACAGGAGTCGCAGAAGTAGATCCAGATCCAGAGAGAGAGACCGAGACAGGGGCAGAGCTAGAGCCAGAGACAGCCGCAGTCGGAGCAGAGACCGAGAGAGGGAGAAAGAAAGGGAAAAAGAGAGGAAAAGAAGCAGAGAGCGCAGAGACAGCAGTCACAGCCGCAGCAGCAAACACAAACAAAAGGCCTCTAGCAAAGACAGAGAAAGGAGGAGGGAAAGGAGTCGTAGTCATGACAAAGACAAGAAAAAGAAGGATAAGGATAGGGAAAAAGAGACAGACAAGAAGAAAGAAAAACCAAAAGCCAGAGAAAAAGAAAAAGAAAAGGAAAAAGGAAGCTCTGTAGTTGCAGAGGAGAATGGCAAATCAAAGAAAAGGAGAGAGAGTGATTCATACACAGACTCCCAGAGTGACAAGCGCTCTCGACACGATAGTAAAGCCAGCAAGAAGGGCTCTGCCAAAGCTAGCAAGAGACACTCAGACTCTGACTCAAGTAGATCCCCTACCCCTGAAGTTAGCAAGGAAAAGAAATCTAAGAAATCCAAACGTAGTCGCTCAAGGTCGACGGAAAAATCTCACAAGTCTGGTAAGAAGGCAAGCCGCAAACACAAGTCTAAGTCGCGATCAAGGTAGTATTCGTTTTTTTCCTCTTTTTTTACCTACTGTATGTTCTTATTGTATGTCTCATTGTGATTTTCTCTGGAGTCCTTTTAATTGACCTATTTTCAGTAACTAAATGAAGAATGTTTACTGAATGTTATGAAAATGTACTGTCAAAGGCAGCCACATGCTCCTGTGTAAAGTCAAGTCTGATGCAATAAAGGGTTTTAATCCTTCATGATGCTTTGATCTGTCAAATACAAATTTGCGACGAATGAATTCCTAACAAGTTTAATTAAGGCTTCATAATCCCCAATTTTACCTCAGTAGAGCCTAGGCCTCTATTTTGTTGCAAATAGTTAATGTGAAACTGCTTCCTGGTCAAATAGAAAGAGAAAATGTCACAGTAATGCCCAACATAACCAAACAAATACATCTGTGGCTTTGCATTATGCTTTGTAGGGTAGATTTGCTTCTCTAGAATCTGCAGAATGCCAGTTTTTGTGGAAGTTACATAAAATATTTTAGACTGTAAAAGTGTGGTTGGTGGGAGGGGGGACTTGTGCATGTTTGTGTTTTACAGTCTGCACTGTAAAGCGTGATTAGTGCAGTATTAATGTTGGGTCCATGCCTCTCTTTCAGGTCAGCGTCCCCCTCCCGTCGTAGCAGACGCTGAGGAGCACAGTTAACATCCTGATCTGTGCACTTTACCATTTTAAATTCCATGAGTTGAACAGGCTTGTCTCATTATAGAGGCAGTTGTGTAGGTGAAACCTCCCTCATTCATTTCTTTTACTGTATATATGTTATTTTTAAAGTGTGACTGAAGAACAAGACATTTTGAATGGTAGGAGTTTTCGTTGGCATCATTATGCAGAGTTTAATAAGACACTAAAAACTCAAGTTGTATCATTTTAAAACAGGATTAACATTTTTTTTTCCAAATGCTATTGTAAAATGTCCAATAAAACTGTTTGTTCCTTGTCTTGCCTCACTGTGTCTTTTTGTGCTGATGACCATGTCGTTATGATCAGTCTTTTGTGCCACTTTGACAGAATACATTGTAATATAGTACACTTGTAAAAATCATGTAGGATGATCATTATGTGTTGCCCCAGTAACATAGAATGAACACAGTTATTCATTTCAGTCAGTGACAGAAAACAAATATGAGAATAATCATAAGTACATCACATAAATTGATTTTTCAGCAGTTCAACTAGTTTCCAGCTATTCGTTTCCCATGGGAACCAGCCATCAGTCCGACCAGGAACAAAACAGTATTGTTTCTGGCCGGACAGAAAAGACAGGAGCACCAAATGTTTTTCAGGTCCCTAAAACAACTAATTTGCCGCACTGAATTGGCGTATATTGTATTGAAAATTACCCATATAATAAATGTATACAGTCACAGGACCAAAAACAATAGGAGCAGAAAATGTGGGCACGTGAAAACTTCGACAAGCTGGACGGAGTTGGTTCAGTCCACAAGATGGCGGCAATGCAACACTTGACGTAACGACTGCTGTGTCATTTCAAAGAAGAAGAAAACCAGAACCACGAAGAAGAAGACAACGACGGACAAACCCACTAATGTGTTGTTGTGAGCAGTATTGCAGTAGCTAGTTGTTAAACAGTGTATATGTACTCCAACAAGTTTAGTCGCCTTATGTTAGGGCTGTGCTGCCGTAAATCGTCCGCTGTCTGCGGTGTGGTCCGGAGCGGCTTTAGCTGGACTACCGTATGTCAACAGCGGACACTGTGGCTGCAGAGGAACGACTTTCTGGAGATGGAGAAACACACCGTGCTCCGTCAGACCGGGTTAGCCAAACCACCTGGGTAGCAGTTTTACCTGAACTTTGCATGAGACACTTCAGCTGAGATAGCTGGGGACGGGAGCTTTAGCATCACTGAGTGTTTATAGGCTGACTTTAAATACTCCACATGGTGTGTGGGTCAGTGGAGACCCGGAGACAACCCTGAAGCCTTTGAAGGAGTCTGGGGTCAACTGATATGTAGTTACTTGAAATATACTGTGGTATACTGACATCTGTTGATCAGCTCCCCCCCCGGTCTTGTTAAATGTGGATAACATCTCTTAAACATAACAGATATCTGATGCTTTGCCACATTTACACATTCTTATTTTTATTACATTTTGTTGCAATCCAGGGCATTGCAACTGCACTCATTACAATAGTTAAATTAATTCTTACAGGCTTACTTAAACTGGACATTATTATATTTGTACACGTATAATTTATGACTAAACAGTGGCATGAAATTGCTTTAGATTTGATAGGTGTAACTAATAAAATAGCCAGAGTATATACATGTGTGTTGACCAATTTTAAACAGTATATTGTGAAAGATGTCATTGATGTTTTTGACAGTGTTTAAAGAAACTCATTGTAGCTTGTCGTGTGACTTAGTTGGTTGAATTGCCATTTTATTTAACTTATGTGGAGTAGTTTAAATGGTGTGCCATATGGATATAATAATAATAATAATAATTATATATATATAAAACAAAAAAAAACACTGCAAACTACATCTTCAAATATGACTGTACAGATTTAGCTATATAACAGTAAAAATTGAGCAACATAATCTTGATTCACTGAGTTTAGGTTGGATAACTACACAAATTCCTTCCAAAAGTACACTTCTAAACTAGTCAGTCATGGACTTAATTTGATGATAACTTTTAAATTAGTCAATTTAATTGGCAAAGTCCCCTCCACAAAGAGCGATACAGTATCAGTCACAGTCTCCAAAGCCAGAGAAACAATCCTGTGCCCCAAATTATTGAATTTATTCAAAAATGAAAGCGGGATAATAACAAAATTGCACCATTGAGAGTCAAGAAACAGCAAATGTTTAGAATTTGTGATTGATAAAAGAGTACTATAATAAACTGATTGTCAAAACTGTTGTAGATGAATGATTTGTTGACTGACTGTGTGGTTCAGTACAAACTTTGTGACATGATGTGTTAGATGAAAAAACTTTGATATGCATGCAGTGATCAAACAAGAGCCAGTTTCATTAATTGTAGTTTATCACCCATGTAAAAAATATGACAATTAATTATGGCAATTATACATTTTTTTTGTGTGTATCTTTCCTTGTGCAGTGCTCGGTCAGTCTCTCAAACTACAGTGGACCCCAGTGAGCTGAGGAGGTTCCAGTCACTGGCCAGCAAGTGGTGGGATGAACAGGGAGAATTTGCAGCTCTTCATGCTATGAATGACCTGAGGGTGCCTTTTATACGGTGTGTGCTTGTCCAAAATATGCAGTTCAGTTGTCGCTATATCTTTGCAAAAAGCCAAAATGTCCCCTCAAAGTAAATGCCAACGAAGGTGATTGATTAGCAACGCTGTCAACAAATGGTGTCAACACATAAGCCGCAGGAATTCCAGCCTCGTGGTGTTGGAGAGCAAAGAACATTCAGAGATGCGCAGAAGTAAAGGGAATTGAAAGTGACAGGGTTTCTTTAAACATCAGCAAATTTTCAACCAATAGTGTCTTGGCTGCCCTGCTGCTACATATGTGCATGTTTTGGGGGCTGGCTGAGGCTGTTTTGATTGATAAGATCTGTTGTTGGGGCCCTCCACTATAATCATGACAGCACCCATCCAGCCAAGGGCCCGTTGCTACACTCCCCCTCCCCCTCTGTGGTGCTGTTGGTGGTGGTGATGTGTGTTTGTGGTGACAGGATGACAGATCTAGTGCCAGTGTATGTCTGAGTGTGGCTGATTTGCCTGATAAGGCTCTGCCCTCAGGGTGTGTCTAAATGAGACGCAGTAGCACCGCTGCCACTGTTGCTGCTGGACCTTCTAGACTCTTATACAGTTAATCCTGCTATGGTACTTTATTCCTTTTTATTGTTTCAGTGGTGTCGTGATGTCTGTTTAAATGTGCACTAGAGTTCCATAGTATTTAAACATGACATATAGACTTCTGATTTGTGTTGATGCCTTACTTTGTAGACACGTACATTGTGTTGTTGAAGCATGCTGCAGTATTTCATGTATGAATTAACTTAATTTTTACTATTTAAATCAGCAAAACTCAGAAAAAATGCTGTTCCCCTATTTTTGCCCCTCAAAAAAAAATACATAATAAAACAACATGAGCACATATCTTTCAAATTTTGTAATATTCATACACTCATTGATAAGAGCACTGTAAAATTATAGCTTCATCATAGAATTTCCATCATTGTTGCATTTTCAAATGCTCAGTATCAATAACTAGTTTTCTTCTAGATATAATATGCGGTGGCCATATCCTAATAACATTCTATAAATGGACATTAGCAAAAATGTGCAGAAGTCGTTATTTAAATTTTGGAAAGCTTTAGTTTTAATCATGGAAAGTGCTGCTTAACAGAGTTTGATTTTGCATTAGTGCAGATCCTACGATCGTTAAAGGCAAAACTACGATGGCCATTCAACTTCACACATTAATTTTACTGGTCTGTAGTGACCGCTAAAGTTTGTGTTTTTATTTAAGACACCAACTTTCAAGTATTTCAGTCATTTGTAAGTTTCATCACCTAAAGTACAGCAGACTACAGGAATGCTGTAGTGCCTAAAGGTACGTTGTGTTCAACAACAATTTATTGTAGTGTAACAGACAAGTCATACAGTGTAACATTTGACAGTAATATAAGGAGACAACATTTATATTGTGTCACATTGGTTGTGAAGAAATCAGCAGTTGTGTTGCTGCTCATCTCAGTAATGCCAAGTTGTGAAGAAATACTTGCAAACATGTGACATTAATTCTGACATCTGTACTCTTAATGTCTTTTTACACCAGGGTGTTTTTGAGTTTTGCACATTTAAACTCTTAAGTTCCTGTAGCATAAACTTAGCTTTCCATCAGAAATTTTAGTTTGGATTTTGCTTAGCCAAACAAAAGCGAGTTTCTGCATTTGTTTTACTTCAGTCATTTATAAAGTTGAAATCAGTTTCATCAGCTGCATCATAGCTCAATCAATGCTAATAATTGCTTATCGTGTGATGATAGCTCGACATTCCCCACAGACAGTGTTTCAGGAGACTTTACTGCTGTGCAGTGGTGTGCTGAGGTGGATGCATGAATGCTCTTGCACCCCGGCAGATCTTAAATGAGGATGATGCATACTCAGATCTTGGCCTGTTCTGCATGTTTCTTGCCTGAAGCACACAGCTGTCAAACACTGTGCGAGGGAAGGATGGAGGTAAGGTAGGGATGATGAAGGAACAGAGCATCATTCATGGTTGTTAGCTGCTGCTGTTGTTGCTCAGGGCGAAATGGGGGACACCAACAGTGGATGGTGTAAGAAAACGTGTCTATGCCCATTCGCCTCTTTATGCTGTGGAGGTTTAGAATCTCATATCTACCCACAGTCCTTTCACTTAAAGTGTTAAGTCTATGCGTGACACAGTATGGGTGTATGTTGGAGACTAAGAGTAATGTGTGGAGGTGGGAGAGACTTCTAAATTTAAAACTGTGACTGCTCATTTACCTTTACAGGGATAACCTGCTGAATGTGCACAGAGCACGTCATCCTGGGAAACCACTGGCAGGACTGAGAATCCTGGATGTGGGCTGTGGAGGAGGCCTGCTTACGGAGGTAAAAATATCTGCATGTGTGGGAGAAAGATACAGACCAAGTGAGGATAAGGAAATGTAAAAAAAATAAAAATCTGTCCCGTCCCAATTGTTTCAATTGCTACCTCTCACGTCACACTGAGCATCTTCTGTCCCGTTGCAGTGTAAATATGTGCCTTCAGTGTGTTCTAGTGCCAATCTTCTCACATGCACACATAGCAGTGCCTAAAAAAAACATTTCAACGTCATCCCAGTTCTTGTTCTCTTTTGATCTGACTGGTCGCAGTGTGGTGGATCGGACAGTCGGTCGTTTACAGTTGTTTATCTGTTTGTTAGTGTTGATAGCTGGGCAGCCAAGACAGGGCTTTCATTTGAACTGAGGACATACCAGTTATGTTGTGTGATCTGGGAAGACAAAATCAGGTCCTGTATTTATATGGCTCTGTCACACAGGCTGTCGTATTCAGACACACACTCACACAATAGGAATGCCAAAAAGTGTCTGTTAAGATTGCGGATGTTATTTTGTGTCTGGGTGTCTTGTCACTACAAGTCCCTCCATCTCAAGGGATTTGCTGTGGGAGGATGGATGTCAGCCCCTGGGCAGGCAAATGGAACTCTCTGTACAGGCTGGTATGTTTAGGTTTTGTCCAGAGGAGGGCGCTGTGGTTCACAACCATCCACTGTTTAGTGCATACTAGCAGGAATGCATTGGTTTTTATCATTTCACCTTTTGTTTAAGCCCTTAACAGATACAGCAACAGACTAAACTGTGAATCCTTTAACTGCTTTGACACATAATTGATTTAGTCTCCACAGCTTTTCAAATGTTTTCTTACTAAACCAACACCAAACCCCCTTTTTAAAAAAAAAAAATCAACTTCTCTTCAGTACTTTGATGTGCTATTTTAAAAGTTTACCTCAACACAAAACAAATGTAATTTGAACTGCAATTTGTTACATTAATCTATATCTTAAAAATGCAGCCCTATATATATGATTGTTTTTCTAATAAAGGGGGAAAGTTTATGAGCAGATGTGTCTCCTGGATCCAGTGGCTGATGGAATTCAGAGCATATTGCAACATTTCTGATACATTTTTAAAAACTTTTCTCTAACAATACAATACAAGGCTTGTGTATGTTTCAGAAAACACGATCTTGTTCCAACACATAAAATCCAAGACTTGAACCTCAAACACAACTGCTCCAAAACGCGTGATATGCTCATAAAAAAAATCTCAGGGTGGATAGCTCATCAGTTGCATTTTAACTCTCAGTGCGTGCATGGATTTATATGTACGAGTCATTTTTTTTTCCAAATGTGGCCTCACTAGTTAATGGGGAAATGGATACAGTTGTAAAGCAAGTTTTATAGATATGGTTCTTTCTTAAATTAATTAAAATACTAAGTTCACGCTGTTATGAGTGGCATTTTTTGAGTGGCATGTTTTAGTTTGAATATGAGACTGTCATTTGGTACAACAATCGATGCTGATGTGTGTTGAGGTCACAGGAATGTGTTTTCAATGTGAGATTGGCTGTAACTGGAGAAGGATTGGTACAGTTTCACTGTAGTTATATTGTATATTGCATTCATCATCCAAAGAGAAAGATGAAAGAATACAGTACAAGTCATAATGTTCTCTTTAACACAGGAACTAAAAGGATTTATGAGAAATGTAGTGTGACAACCAGCAGCACTATCAACGCAATGACTATAGTCTTATTTGTTAAAGGCGATATAACCGATGTATTGTCATGAATTTTATTTTGACATTTTGCATTTTAAATTTCTGCTTGCTCTACTGTTACTGTTTTGTACTACATTTGACTTATTTCTCTCTGTGCTTGTTTAAAGACTTTTACCTGAGTATAGCAGAGTCAGTCATGACTTTCCTCATTCCCCTCCTTGTCCTTCCCCAGCCACTGGGTCGCCTTGGCGCTACAGTGTTGGGTATAGATCCAGTAGAAAACAGCATCGGCACCGCCCAGCTGCACTCCTCCTACGACCCGGACCTCCGTGACCAGGTGTCCTACCAGGCCTGCACCCTGGAGGAGCTGTCAGCAGAAGAGGAGGGAGGAGAGCAAGAGCAGGGAGCGGCCCAGTTCGACGCTGTTGTTGCGTCGGAGGTTGTGGAACATCTGGCCGACCTGGAAACGTTTGCTTTCTGCTGCAGCAATGTGCTGAAGGTCTGTCCCTTTATTAGGTGTGTGTGTTTGTTGTTGTTTTTTCCTCCAGCTGTTTTCTTAGGCCACATGTTTCTGCATCGATACGAGATGTGTGTTTGCGTGTTCATCTGAGCGTCTCTTAACGTACATATGGTGACTTTGTTGTGTTTGCATCTGTTTGGTCACGGGGAATAGGGCAGCATGTGTTTTCATGAGTGTGTTTTGCACTGAACATTGAAAAGCTTCAGTGAAAGCTGTGCATCAATACTGCGGCCAGAGGGTTATAATCTCCTGGGTCAGTGGGCCAAAAGAGGAAAAACAGCCTAATCTTCATGGAGTGCCTCTGCATTCGACCTGGCCAAATGCACGAGCAGACGTCCTCTCTGTCAGTCTCTCTCGTCTGCTCTTTTACTGAAAAAAACATTCAAATGTGTGTGTCTTCAGGGCACGTATTCAGGGAGGTTTTAAATTGAACTTTTGTGTTGTTTGGATTCATTTTGTAGAACTACACTCTTCCACTTTCATTTTCTGTATCTTCCACTCTCCTTCTTCCTCCCCTTCTGCTCAATTTGTTAATCTTGACCGAGTTCAACCTTGAGGTTTGGCACTGTTACCTCCTGGTCTCATGCACTGGATTCAGTCCACTGAAAGCTTTTAAATCCATTCTATAAATACCCTTGTGACCCGGGGATCAGTACACCTCCCTCATGTGCACTGTCATCAAATATGTTTACAGAAGAACAATAATGCACTAAAACCCTTCCCATTTTCTGTGTATGCAGCCAGGCGGCTCACTCTTCATCACAACGATAAATAAAACCAACCTGTCATATGCGCTGGGTATCATCGTAGCCGAGCAGATCCTACGCATCGTTCCCAATGGGACTCACGACTGGGAAAAGTTCATCAGTCCAGAAGAGCTGGAGCGCCTCCTGGAGTCCAGTAAGTTCCTCTGATTTCCACACGAGGAAATGATACAGGGTAAAATGCTGTCGCTTGTAAGTGAGAAACAGAACAAGTGTTTCACAGTGAGGCTGTTACAATGTCCGATTTTTACTACATGAATATTGTGGCTAAAAGAATTTCAGTGGGAATTCTATTAAAAGTCAACTTCATCAAATTGTGTTTTAAATTTGCTCATTTGGTATTTTGTCTCTTTTGTTTTGGTAAATGACTTGCATTCAAAATACAAGTACTCTATGTTCTTATATTGGAGTTTCAGCCAGATAGTTACTTATGTGCAATATTCTCATATATCTATTTACATGCTATCAGTACTTCATTTTATTATGTATGACAGTTATTGTCTGGACCAGGATATCATGACACTGCTGTTTATCACAATTTAAAAAAATACATTATAGCCTTTTTTTAGTTTGCAAAACTTAGTTTTACAAGAAACCTTGACATGTGAAGCAAATAACACCAACACTTGGGACTACCAAGATGTTTTAATCTACTTTGGGCAATTCTATAATACAACAGAAATGTTCAAGAAATAAATGTTAAACTGCTCTTTTTGGATTAATCCCTCCATAGCATGTCTTCTTAGTCTCACATTTTTAAAGGCTAGATTTTCCAATTAAATCAAAAATACATCTATGAGTGCATCATTCTTTATGAGCTCTGTTGCTGGCTCTACATTCGGATTGGATTAACAGTATTGTACATTGAAGCCTGAATGCTTTAGATTATTCAGCTTCAGTAGCTTAACCACATGGAGTGTTTAAAAAAATAAAAAATAAATCTAGGGGCGTCACTATTGCTATTGCCGCAGGTCCTCCCCCGTTCTTCTCCCCTACTTTTCTCTCTCTCTCTCTTTCAATTGCATTCTCAAACAAGTGCAAAAAGGCCAAAAAATAACTTAAAAAAATATCTAAATATATCTGTATATAAATGTTGTACTCTTTCTTCTTTATCAGATGGTTTCTCAGTGCAGTCTGTCCAGGGAATGCTGTACAACCCACTGTCGGGAGCCTGGAGCTGGACTAACAGCACTGCCATCAACTATGCCCTCCACGCAGTCAGACTGAAAGATGCAGCCGAGGACAGCAGCCCCCACCCGGAGGACCACGCTGCAGCCGCACACAGCTGAGCCAGTCCACTGGAGAGCAAGTCAGAAAATGAAAATAATGATTCAGATTCATGGAGCTCTGACGTCCCCTCGGCCAGCAGCTGTGATGCAACACGAGACGGGGTTTATTCGAGGGAAGGGACAAACAACCTCGAGATCGAATTAGAGATGTGCCGTCGTCGCTGAGCCACACTCACAATACGATTGCACTATGATGTTGGAGAGTTTAATAAATGCTTAATGTTTGATAAGCTGTGCAAGGCAACTGTACATCTCTAATTCTGTCTTTCAGCAGCAGAGAATCAAACAGCTGCAGAGATGAGCAAATATTGTTCTGCATCAGCTTGGTATTGTATGCTTTTGCAGGTTGCCATTAAATCTGACCTTTCATCAGTGAAAGTCTCATTTTATTTGGCCCTGGTGGCTAACAAAAGATGTGATTTTCTATTATCCATTTCTAGATGCTAAAGCCTTATAAGTTGTGTCACGAGAGGGAACAGTCACTTCCTCTGGGATTATAATGGGTCTCATGTGGAAGTATTATATAATGCAGATCTCTCCCTGTGGCGGAGAATAAGTCAGGCTTGCATGCTGTTCTTAAAGAGAGGCGGTGAAATGCGTGCACAAATCACATTTTTCCTGTGCTGCAGCAGTTAACTGAACACACTCTGGGGACCAGAAAGCTGCTGCTGCAAGAAATATGACTAATTTCACAGTGTGACATAATCTGCTGATGGTGGTTGTAATCATGCCTGTGCAGAATTTAAGCGACATGTTTAAACTCTGACTCCCCTTCATCTCACATGTGCCCTGCTGTGGACTCTCTCATGCCCACGCTACATCAGCTGTCAACAATAACAAACGCTCCTGCTGTAATGCGCGCTCGCCTAAAGCAGCGGGACCGCGCGCCTAACTTGCGGTCGCCATGGCTGCGGTGCGGACTGTGGTGCACATCGCAGAGAGACATCAGACGTGCAGTCAGTAGTTGGTGTTAAAGGCAGCTTCTCTCAGTGACCTGCACACGGAGTCAGCTGGCAGCTTTCTTGGCACCAGGGTGGTAATGACGGAGATGTAACTAAGCTACAGGATCATCTTCTTTCCTCCAAGTTGTCTTCATCCGGTCCTCGGCATGCTCGACAAACAGATCCCCAACTCACCTGCTGGATCACACCGTCAACATGAACGTCTTCGTACACTTCCGAAGTTGTTCCAGAGTGAGTAGATCCACCTTTACACCACATGAGCTACTTATTCAATAGAAGTGAATGATGAACACATTGAATTTATTAACAAACACAACTTGTCTCCTCTGTGTAGTTGTTAATTGAGCGCACGCTTTAATATCTATACATGGATACATCACCAATTAAGTAATCATGTGTTGAGTAACTAAGCTCATGGAGGTAAACAAGGACTAGAGCAGGACAGCTGACTTGTCTGACTCAGACACTTTAATACCTTGTGTGATTATTAGAGGGATTTGTCGTCATGTGTTGTCGGCCACTGGGCTGTGTGCTCGTCATGGTGAGCTACTGGTTTCACTGGGATGCGGGGGCTCGTCAGGGCGGGGTGACTCCACCACTGGAGAAAGACAAAAGGCCAGCTGCGTCAAGTCACCAGGGTTTCGTACGCCCACACCGGAAGTTACTTATCTTTGTTGTAAAAATAAAAGTACCAAGCTGTTATATGGCATCGGTTTTGTTCTAAAAGCCCTTATTCTCTTATCTTTATTTACTGACTATTGGGTTGTAGGTGTGTTTGTATACACCAACCAGTCACAAAATTACAACCACTGACTAGTAAAGCAAATAACACTGATGACCTCGTGATAAAGCAATGTTCTACTGGGATACTGTGGATCCTGCCATTCAGTATGATGCTACTTTGACGGGTATCCCCCACATAAACACCATAGCAGACCAAGTACACTCCTTTAGCACTGGCTTCCCTCAGCAGGACAATGCACGCCACATTGCAGAAGAACATGATCAAGAACTCAAGGTGTTGACCCGCCAGCAAAAACCCCCAGGTCCCAGTCCAGTTGAGCATCTGTAAGATATGCTGCAACAAGTCGAATCCATTAAGGCCCCAACTAGCAATCTAAAGGATGTGCTGCCAATATCTCAGTACCAGACAACACAAACACCCTGGAGGCCTGGTGTACATGCCCTGATTGGTCAGAGGTGTTTTGGCAGCATGAGGGGAACCAACACAGTAAAAGGAAGGTTGCGTGTGTAATGTTGTGCTGATTGGTGTATGTAATATATATATATGTGTACATAAAAGATTGTAAGATAAAAATCTTACAAGATTTGACAAAATACTGAAAAAAAACAGACTTGACTCCAACAAGATGTTTGTAGAGATCAAGTATATTTGACCAAATCTGTGTAAAAGACCTAAACAACAACAACAAGAAAACAGAACATTGGAACATCTTGGTACACAATGTATAATGTATTTTAGTGTTTGACTGAAATGTTTGTTTCATGGCCGATACAATAGCAGTTAGTAGTTAAGTAGATCGATGTCTGATTTGTCGACTCAGATTCATTTACAGTAAAAATGAAAATCTTGGTGTCATAATGTAAAATTACACTCCAACTCTAGATTTTGTTAACATGCCTTTTATTTATTAATGTTTTGCCTTTGTTTAATAAGAACTGGAGTATGGTTGAGATGCAGCTGCATCACAGCCAAAGTAGTGTGTTTTTAACTTTATTTGAAGCAGAATCAGCAATAGAAACAAAATAACAGGACTGGTAATTGGAAACATGCTGCATATTTGATCCAATATTCAGACAAGCCAATAATTGGTCAACCCCTAATGTATGTGACCAAAACATGAAGACTGTTTTGGAAATGGAAAAAATATCTCTGAACCTGGATATTTTAGTCTGTTAGAAAAAAAAATAAAAGAGCGTCTCTCAGCTATTTGGGCAAAAGGCTTAAGTGAGCTGACACAAGCAACAGTGACTAGTTTGAACAGAAATAACTTTAGAGCTAATCAGTTTATTGACAGTGTAAGACAGTGAGCTAAATACTTGTTTTTCCAAAATCATTTTCCACGCAGAAATACCAGATATTGTCTAACTACAGGTTTTCACATCTAATAATTGTCTGCTTTTTTGTCTAATAAGGTAATAAGTTGAATCTTCATTTGGTGAGACAAAACAAGTAATTTGATGATGTTACTGTCAGTTTTCATTAAGATACATCATGAAATGGAAACAGCTGGAGCTCTTTGTTCAATCGCTGACACAATGTGCTGGAACACTGAGAGTCTCTTGACATTTACAGGGTGGATCCATGCAGCTTGGCCAGTATTAGTTTATATATTAGTTTAGTACCGGAAGGTCTAACAATGTAAGCTTTTTTATGTTCAGAAAGTAATAAATACATCAGCGAAAGACGGTGTCCCAGTCATTAAAATAACACCACAGCGAACACCAACAGTGACATTTTATTTTGAAATCTGCACCAGCAGGACGCGGTGCTGTGTTTGTTCGTAGCTTGACGATGCTCGCTGCGAGAACCTGCAAAGGAAAGCGACCTGAGTGCTGAGCATCGTCCTGGGGAGGGCAGTGGAGATGTTTACTCCTTCTGGTTTCCTGGAGAAGCATTAGCCCCGCCGCCGCCATGCCGTAGACAACCCGCCGGGCGTTTGGATGAAGCCTAACGGGGACTGCAGCAGCAGCAGGGAGGCAGCGGGGCGGCTGTGACCGAGGGAGGGAGAGAATGTACTGGGCTGCTGGCTTCGCCTCTTCCCGGCCGTGTGTGGTTGAACTCGGGCGGAACCACAGCCTGCCTCTCGGGCTGTGCGCCTCGGAGCAGCAGCAGTCTTTGTATGGCTATATCATCGCCTTTCCTTTGCAGGACTACGGGGGCATCATGTCGGTTCTGGGCTCGGACTCTTGGTGGAAGAAGACCCTGTACATAACCGGGGGGGCCCTGCTGGCTGCTGCAGCCTATCTACTGCATGAGCTGCTCGCCATCAGGTAGGAACACACCTCATGTCATGGTGTTTTTAAAATCTGTGATTGTGATTATTTGGCCTGATTGCAGTGTGCTGTGCGTAAAACTATGAATGAACGCAGAGGGTGTCTAAAGGGTGGAATCTCTGTGCAGATCTCGCGGTGGTTTGCTGAGGTTTTCAGTCCCTGTTTTCCTCCTTCCAAGGACACGACCAAGAGGGAGAGAGAGAGAGAGAGAGGGGAGAAATAAATAAATAAAGCAAGTCACGCGTCCGCTCGTGTGCCAGCATCCGTCGGCACCTGAGCGTGAATAAATGGAGCGCTCCTCGGGCGCTGCGGCGTCAGCCCGACCTTTAATGAACTCTGCTGTTTGACAGGCACCGCAGCTGTCTAGAAATACAACAAAAAACAGGTCTTCGTTTGCAGCCGCCCTTTAATTGAAGCGGATGAACGAGACGCGAGCAGGACGCTGCGGTGTGAAAGTGATTAACGCAGGACTATTGTCAGAGCGGAGAATGCGTGTCTGTCAATGGAGAGATTATTTTTGGGCCAGGCCATAGCCGGGGAGTAAGTACATCCTGTTACAGTGGCCTGGTAGCTGGCGCTTTCACTCCCCTCCCTCCTCCCCCTCGATAAGCTGTGTAACCTTACATTTCGTGCAGGATCGCTGCTGCTGAATCACGTGCAGCAGACGGAGGCTGGACCCGCAGCCTGCCGGCATCATCTGTTCAGGCCATGTGATGTGTTGCTGACACTGGCAGCGGCTCTGCCAGTGCAGTCAGCTGTTACTCTCCCCTGCGCCCTGTACGCATCCTGAACGTTAACAGAGGCTCGTTAGAGCGAGATTTCAGCGCAAAGTTCAAATGGAGCGACCTTAGAGACAGAGGGATGGACGCACAGTGCAGATCAGACATGAGGATGTTCGTTTCTCTGCTCAGAGTTTAAGGTTTCAGCACCACTGGAGTGTGGACAGCGACATGTAGGACCTGGACTCATCCAGACAGAGACTCAGTATAGACTGTATCAAGTTCTGCTCAAAAGAGAGTTTATTTATCAGCTCTTACTGTAAGCACAAACAAACAAACAATAACCTCAAACAAAAAAACAAAAAACAATCTACTTTAGCATCTGCTTTGTTAATATTGACTTCGATGTCTTCTAAACCCTGCTGATGTATGTTTACTAGTAATAACAACCACAAAATGAACAATTATTTAAAAATCTGCATTTGTTTCTTCTGACCCATGAAATAATTATTATATAAGCAGCTACCTTTGCCACAGATTGTGCTTACAAGTTTGATGAAGGTAACAAAAATGCTTAAATGACAATAAAGTATCACAATAACACTAAAAGAAACTTGCTTGACAATTTAGAGTGATTACATCATTCCCAGCCAAATAAATGCACTGTTTGTTATCTTACATAGTGAGATTTTTGTTTAGTGCTCCAAAGAAGTCAAACTGTCTGAGAAATCCTTTATTAGTAAACTGTTATAAGAGTAACAAGATTCCAAAGAGAGTTTGAGACAGAACTCAGAATATAAAATCCCTTTTGGAAATTGATATTTAGCCATGTTTTGCTGTTGTTGTTCCAGAGACATCGACGAGTATTAATGTGTCCATTTCCTGCAGCAAACTTCTGAATACACGTCACTTCTTCATCGCAAGCAAATCTAGAAGTATCAAACAATGTTAACTCTTACTTTAAGCTGTTCGAGCCGGGCCCAGCTGTGGTCTACAGCCTCATGAAACAGGAGGTGACAGTGTTTTCTCCTGAATGTCAACTAAAGCCCTCCTGCAAAACCCAGCAGGGTAGAGAACTACCAGGCTCTTCAGTTAGATTTTTACATGATCTTTACACAACATAAAGTTCAAATGAAGAGGTTTTAAAGAGAATTACCAGATCAGAGATTTTCCAAGCATAAAAGAAAATAAATGTTGCAATAATAACTATAAATACGGAATCAGGAACAGTAGACACTGTAATAAAATGACTGTAATTTACAAACTCATAAAGTGGATTTAGTGTCATATTACTCTATAAAGACCCTTTTGGTTAAAATCAGTTTTTACCTTGTTTACATGTTCGTGTGGTGTTTTATGTGCAGTCAAAGCCATTGCTGAACACTTCCGCCTTAAAGCTGCCGTGCACTGATGATAGTCTCATAAAACACGGGCATAAACAAGGATCCTGACCAATCCTGTCAGCCTGCTGGTTGGGTCTTTGTGTGTCAATATTCTCAATTTCCAGCTCAAACATGTCTAGCTGAAGGACTCCAATATCACTAACGTGCAATTATAGCATAGAGTTGATTTACCATGTTGGGCCCCAGTCATGGGTGAGCTGGTGTGCTTGAGTTGCAGCGAGTGGGGAGGGGACTTCATAGATCTACACATTCTGGAGGAAGTAATGGTGCAGTGCTACACCTAAATCAATGTGACGGCAGGGTTAGATTATTTAATGAAAACAAACTTCTAAATATGTGACTTGGATGTGCAGAGATCAGTTTTTAGGGGTTTAATCAACAACAGGAGAGATACTTTAACACTGACACCAGGGTAACCAAGATTGCTTATCCTATATATTATTCATAAAATAATGTTCCATAAAAAGTAGAGCAGCTGTTGCCAGACCGCTGTACACTTCCATTAAGTTATGCAGATCCAAAGAGCATTGGCCAGCGATAAAAGAGATGCTGAGCAGACCTTCCAGGGTCTGTGTGTCTGCCTGGAGGGTGACAAGTTTGACATGATACATCAAAACTGTACTCCTCCTTAATTCTGTTTAGTTGCTTAAGCAGCATTCAGAGTTTAAGCAGGTCCTGCTTATGTTTTGGAGAAATGGAAATACATTCTGAAATGAATGTGATCAGAGAGACAGTGTAGTAAATCAAATTGATGTTTTTTCTTGTTTCAAATGAGGGCTTAATCATAATTGTTATGCTGGATGCCATTTAAACACTCCTATTGTTCAATGTTTGGCTTTGTGACTATAGCACAGTCATACACTGGCAGCTCCTGTCACAAATGAACACTAGTTTGTCATTGAATGTGTGAGACAGCAGGCGTACAGACCAGTAGGATGGGAAATCCCCCTCCTTTGTGTTTCCTCAAAACTGGAGCAGCGTGATGACTCTTTCAGTCAATCATTTCACTTCTAGCAGAGGTGACAGATACAGTGGAGCTTTATCAGCAATATTCTCCACATGTAGAGATTTTAAACTCCTGGATATCTTCATCAATTTCTAATGACAATCTACACTAAAAATAGTTATTAATAGAAAATAGTATTGGGTTTCTGGTAGTAGTAGTCATTTTGAGATAATTAGAATTGGCCAGTATCAAAGAGAAGCTACGTCACGTTGCTTCTGGGATCTGGCTGGCTACATCAGCTAATGAATTGTTTTCTATGTTGCATATGAGCTCAGATAAATCTGTAAGCAGCCTGTGAGCACAGTGAGACATCAGATGTCAATATGTTTACCAGACCAGGAGCAGAAGAGGATCCTATCTGCTGATAAATGTTAATAAATGCACTTAAACTTTAAGATTTTTTTCATGCATGCATTTTTCCCCCCAGAAACTTTAGTTTTTTTTGATTACCTGTCGATATTTATTTAGTTGATACATTTCTTAACAATTAAAAGAAGCACACTGCAGTCAAAGTCCAGATGTACTTTAAGAAAAATGGAGGAAAAACAAAACTGATATTTATTAAAGTTATTAATTATTATGAAACTGCTGTATTTTAGAGGCTCTGAAAAACTAAACAATGACATGATATTGACTATCTGCCACCACTGTTATCGTGATATTTGGAAAACTCACATCAGTCAACCACTAGTTTAATATTTGGTCATGTAAACTTAACTAAAGTTACACATTTTTATTTCCTGCACATCACAGATTGACAGTAGACTTTTTTCCTGCATGGAGTTCAATGAGGACAACAAAACAATAATTCCGTACAATCTAAATCTGAGTGAATAGGTCATGCAAATATAAAAACAGTGCATGTTTGTGGGCTTAGTTGCTTAAAAAAAAATAACTCTAGGGAGCTACTGAGGCGCTGTGCTATAATAAACCACAGGTGCGACCTGTTCCTCCCAGGAAGGTTTGTTAGAGGCTAAAACTGAACAGCAAGCCCTATTTTTTATTCAGCTGCTGAGTTATGTTTGGTATTTATCTTGCAGTACCCACTGACCTAGAAAACCGTTAGTAAGACAGGTTGCTCTCAGCCAGACGGGTTTACAGTTTAACATTTCCAGGAAAGGATAACGCTGCCGTCTTTAAAGTTAGCATCAATGCTTTCCTGCTGGAGTGTACACACAGTTGGCAGGGTTGAAGACACCAAAGTGTAGCTTCTTCCTTGGAAAATCAGCCATTTGCTGCAGATAACGGTGGAAAAACAACATCCTCTAAATGAAAAGTGTACTTTAGCAAATTTAAGCCTGATATGTGACAGGACAGACTTTCTTGTTGCGTTCTTATGTTACAGTGTTGAAACACATATTGCTGTTTTATTAAAGGTGGTTTTGTTTGCTGCAACAGTAGACAGGTGCATTTCACATTTATATATATAGTTGTATGTTTAAAACCATTCAAACAAAACAAAAATGATCTTTAAATATATGCAAACTACAAGGCAACACTGTTTATTTACTAAAGATTCTGTTTTCTCCATCTGTGCTGTCTGTGTAGGAAGGAGCAGGAGTTGGACTCTAAAGACGCCATCATCCTCCATCAGTTCTCCAGGCCAAAGAATGGCGTTCCCAGCCTCTCACCCTTCTGCCTCAAAATAGAGACGTACCTGCGCATGGTGGATCTGCCCTACCAGGTGATCACAACGAGGAGGGCTTAAATGCTCGTCATTGTGTTTGGTAAAGTGTGAGGTTCAGTAGTTTGTCACCCAGTTCGAGCAGTATTCGGTCCAAGAAACACTGACACTCATGCCAGAAATGTAAAATACATTCCTCCCTGAGTCACAGAGGGGTTTTAAAAAACCATGTATCTCTTAAATAAGCTCTGGACTAATGACAAGTTGGCTGAGGCGCAATCTGTCTCATTGCAGTTTATGGCATAGCACGAATGAGCTACATTTTTGGAGAATTACATTTTTGATTTCTATTATAGATACCCAGAAAGATGTTGATTAGAGATGCACAGCATGTTTAACTACTTTTACAGCACTGACTGAACCTGTAGCCTCCAAACATTTTTGCTTGTTGATCCGTTTAAATGATTACATACCTACTTCTGAGTCCTTTCATCACTGGTTATGCTGATTTGCTTTCCAATTAAAGCACTTTTTTCTCCTTTATATTGATTTATTTAAATTCTTTTTTTTAGGGATTATTCAGTATTTCAACAGAGAATGCGAAACTATTAAAAAAAAAAAAAAAAAAAAAAAAAAGTTTATTGCTTTCCCTTTTCGTGTAAAAACGCCTCTCCAGGGATTGTACATTAATCTTCCACTGAGTTTAGTGATTTGCAGGCAACAGTTTACAAAGAAAGGTCACATTTAGAGCTGCAGAGGACCAGATTGTCTTTCTCGGATCTACTATTGCATCCCATAATGCCTATTATGTAACTCAAAAGCATCTTATGTTAAACTCTCCTTACCTGGTATACAGCCACATTTGAATGCTTTCTGTTAGAAATGTGTATGATGATGTTTCTGTCAATAACACTGATGACTTCAGAAATATGTTTCACTGCTGATTCTATCTAAACTGTGCATAATGACCTTTTGCGACCCATTGAATTCCTAAGATTTATCCGATCTTGTGGTTTGGAGAATCTAAATAACAGTAATGGGGGGAAAAAAAACGTTGCATTAATTTGTCATATCTATCTACAATAAGCTGCTCTTTGCATCCAGAAAATGTGCATATTGTCACATGACTCCATTTCCCCCTGCAGAACTACTTTGACGGGAAGCTATCACCGCAGGGTAAGATGCCCTGGATCGAGTACAACCACGAGCAGGCGTCGGGCTCAGAGTTCATTGTGGACTTCCTGGAGGAGAAACTGGGGGTCAACCTCAACAAGAACCTCACCCCCCAGGAGAGGGCCGTGTCCCGAGCTGTCACCAAAATGGTCGAGGAACACCTCTACTGGTAACGACCTCGTACACAAACTCATACGTAGTGTTGCACAAGGTACAACTATGTGATTCAAAGTGTATATTAAAACATTTGAATCCACTTTGTTATATGATTTCAAAAACAGAATGCAGTGTTCTTTGTAGTTTGATTTAGCGGTTGTGCCTGAGGGCTAAAATTATGCATTTGCTAACTCAATTCTATGCACATACTCATATCAAATACATATTTTAATACTTTAGCTCAATGTTAAACCACCTACACTGATCCCACTGAAAAATAATAATGTGCCACTGGTTCAGATGTTTTAAAAGACAAATTAAGTCTTCAGTTGTAATCAATTTTTTTTAATTTACGCATTATACATGCAGTCTTCTAGCTCAGGCTGACTCGATCCTCACCAGCGTTGCTTTGCTGTCATCCTTTGCAGTGGTGAGTCACTCCAGTATTTCAGGGCGAGAAGCACACTGAAGCTGCTGCTGCTGCTAGGAAATCATTTTCACCGCTCCTCCCACACCCACAGAGACCGAGAGTGTTTTCCATTACCTAAAAGCTCCATCCATCTTTCAATATCCATTCCCCCACTCACACACACACACACACACACTAATCTAGCCATGTTTGATCCTGTGTGCTGTAGCCTGTTGTGCTGCATTTAATAATGTCAGGACAACTCCAGTCTCAGGCCTTAGTCCTCATACAACAACCTAAAAGGAGTTTTTTAAGTTAGGGAAGAGAGTAAATGAGGATGTGACAGGTGTAACGCCCCGGTTTCCTGTGTGAGAATGTACTGTTAGTGTGTTGTAAACAGGGAACTTTCCGTAGGGATTTCTCCAAAGCTGCAGAGGTCACTCATGTAACCCACATTCCCCCTCCCTCCCTCTCTCCTTGTGTAACCTCCCTGCTCTTCTTTCCCTGCTCCTCCATCCACCCTGCGCCATCTTTAGACCTACATATAGACCTATTGATTGAATTATTTATGTCAGGGAAGGGCAGCGTGGCTTCTTGTTGCTCTTTATGTGGTGTGATGCAGGCAGACGAGCAGCTCTGACTTACAGTTATATCACATATTCTTGGAGTCGCCCTTCAAATTGATGTGCCTTTAAAAATAACAGCTAGATAACAGGAAACTGAAAAACTGCCAACAGAGACAGCTGTGCTTTATGAGCTATGAGCTTTCTGACCGTTTCTGTGTAAGCAGCTTCTTAAATTTCTTGCTTTCAAAGGAAATCCCAATTCTATTTCTCTTAAAGCTGCACTCATCAATATTTTTATACTAACAATCAATATAATAACTGTGTCATAGATGAGGTGTTGAATTATCTCCTAACTGCAGTTCACACAGCTCCAGAGAACATTTTAGCCTTTTTATAACTCTGTCAGCTAAAAAAGATTATTAAGAAGGGAAGGTTTTGACCACAAACACTGCTCTCGCACAACCAGCTTCCAGCAGCAGTTGTTTTCACTGAAAAATCTGAAGTGTGTGCCGTACAGTCTACAGCAGACAGACAAAGCAACCAGAATTTAGCAGCTAAAGTGCCAGATATTTCCCTCAGGAGAGGGTCAAGGGCAAAACTGAGCTAAAAGAAGGTGAATTGTGGATTTAGATTTAGAAGGTGGACACAAATACAACTTCAAAGGAAAGCTCATCCTGGATGTTTAAGTTTAACGGAAACCATTTGTTAGTCCATTTTATGGTGATAAGAACATTTTGTGTTAAAGCTTGCTGCAGTGATTCCAGGTCAAGATCAGTTCCTTCCCTCTGTATTATAAAAATGCCAACACTAGTTTTGATGATGTCATAATCAACTCTCAAATTGCCTCCTCATCCTTTTTTACCTGAACAGCAGTTCTAATAGCTTTAACTATTCCCCAGGAAACTCCTGTTGCTCGTTAATGATTTTCATAATGTGTGTAAAACGTATTTATTCACTACCTGCATCCAAAGGTGTTGTAACACTGTCCAGAGATAGAAACAGCTGCTTTATGATGACTTATTTAAGTTTTAATTTTGCCTTTCCTTTTGCTGAGTGCCAAAGCGAGCCATACCACATTTTCTACTTTTTGAGAAAAAAACTGATCCAAGGTTTGTCTTGCTGAACAGCATTGAAGAGTTTACATCATAAGGAAGTAGAGATACTTTTGAGGATGATGGGCTAGAAATAGATGCTTGGTGGTGCTTAATTAAGTTTTAGTTTTACCTTACCATACCTACCACCTGAGTTTTCATGGGACTTGAGGTTGCGCTGTCCGCTATCTTGAAACACATGCAACTACCTGCGCCCGTGATGTAACGGTCAGCGACTCCTGTGGCTTGGTCCAGTTTGCCACTAAATTTTCCTGGCAAAACCATCATGGGTCAATCTTTAAAGTCACATTGTGGCATTACTAGTGGGCTGTTGGTTGGACCACCATGTCATGAACTAGTAGACCATAAACACAAAAAAACATAAAACTCACCTTTGGATATGTGTGGTTTGTCCTGCTTTGCCCCTGAACCTCTTAATTTTGGCCTTGATTTATACACAAACATCGCTTGAAGGAAGAATTCACTAAAACCAGTTGTCAACTTGTTCCTTTTGGCCTAAAAGTTCTGTCTCAATCTGTTTTTCTGCTCTCTTCTGAAATTTCTTTCCCATTTACATATCTTTACATAAATGCATTTTAACCCCAAAATATACTCATTTTTAATATATTGATGTTTTGATCTTTGACTAAAAGGCTCCAGAAGTCATTTTAAAGATTCTGTTTTGGTAAAATATTTTTTTTTTAATTATGTAAGTTGAGTCTTATTTATTCTTCTGTAAAGATCAGAGTAAGATTTTATTATCGGTTTATCCTCTTGGGATATCAGATAATGTACCAGGAAGTAGCGTGGGGCCAGTCACCGCTCCCCCATGTAATATAGACCAGATGCTGTAATTCAATTTGTATTGAGTAACCGGTCATGTACAGTTTCAGACACCAGCACACCAGAGACTAAGACTTCTTTACAGTCACTGCCAGCAGTAGTGTGACATCAGGCTTTCGGATATAGAAGCTCAGACTCGGGTGAGGTGGTGTGAGAAAGGGCAAGTGTGGAAGGATGTAGTGGCTTAATCTCGTTAGAGCCTACACGCACAGGGATCCTGGCTGGAAAAACACAGACAGAGCACAGACGACAGTAAATGAAGAAGACTTAATGAGGTGAATCCACGTGAAACAATTTCCCTTTCCTGGTTATTTTGATCAAACTCAAATGGTCACAAAAAGAAGATGCAGATAAGTAAGAGAAGAGTAAATGAGGGATTTTGAGGATTTGAGTTAGGCTTGTTTGCACATAAACACGTAGGATCTGTCTGGCCGCTGCTGTGAGACAAATCTCTGCTTGACGTCAGTGTCTGCCCAGGGTTTCTTCTCCTAACATACTCCGCATGCTGTTCTAACTTTGTTTTCTTGTTACGATTGACTGTAAGGAGACGGTGCATTTCAGGATTAAGTGGATGCTTTTGCTTACCAGTTTAAAATCCAGATCTGCAGTGGAATTTCTGGCATGTTTGCACAGTCACCTTTTCTCTTCTGACCTATTTCTGTGTCAGAGGCAGGGACCTGGGCTTTACTTACGTATGTAACAAGAAGCTGACAGTTTGAGGGGCTGAATATATGATGTTATGTCCAGGCAGAGAGCACAGAGCAGTGCAGCTGATAAATGGGGCAGTGGGACGGATGTGGTGGTGCACTTGTATTGATTAGGGTGAGGTTCATTGTCAATAAACATAAAACTCTGCTGGTAACATGATGCAGGGTCTGCAACTCTGATTAAACTTACTGTTGACGTGACTCTACATCAGTCACTACAGTACAGATTAATGAAGAGCAGAACAGGATGGCTTAAAGGATGTCTGTGAGGATCTCTATATAATATAAGATTAAAACATTCAGTCCTCCTCAGAGTTTGCCGACATTTTCCGTTTGGTGAAGATGCTTTCTTCATTTATTACAGTATGAATCTTTCAGTGTTGTTTGCAGTTTTGCTTAAAGAAATTTAGATTTTGTTATAGCATGCTTTAATTTGAAAAATGCTTGACATTGTCTGTGCAGATATACACCATCTGATGTGATGTATTACTTATGTTTGCCAAAAGGACATAAATGCTGAAAATGTGACAAATGGGAAATTTTAGGATCCAAAACCTT